ACAGAGGTCACTCGGACTGAGCCTGGGCTATTAACATAGCGCCACCATCCGCCCCATTCCTTCGGGAAAACCTATGGAATTTCTTCCTATCTGGAGAAATGTGAGGGCGATCTCTGTCTTGATCCCAGGAAGTTCGACCATTTCTGCTTCCTTCTTGTCTTCGGCTAGCTTCCTTTCCTCTTTGCTCTGGGGCGGGAAGCGATCGGTCGCATATCCCACTTCCTTCCCGAGAAAGGCCCAAAAAAGGTTGACCGATACGAAACCGGATAAAGAACAGGGAACCCTTTTGGGAGGTTGTGAAGAAAGGGGATGCAGCAGACCTCTATTAGGGCGTAAAGCATGGAATTCTGCCTAACTAAGTTTGATCGGGCCTATATTCTCTTATCTCTATCTTTCTATTTTTTCTACGTAAACATATCTTATTTTGTACCTAAAACCTTATGGAAAAGGAAAAGCTAAACCTGGAGTTCTAATTAGGAGCTTTCAACGTACACCCAGGGACAAATCTTTCACTCACTGGGGATCGCCTCGAGAATGAAGCGGGCCTTTCCCGCGAGTGAACACGGATGGTGCTTCACGTGGGAATCCGGGTGTGTCTGGGGAGGAAGGAAGCTAGCCTATGTGTGTGGAAGAAAGAAAGAAGTAAAGCTAGCAACAAAGTAGTGCTTCCCCTGCCCTNATTCGAATTTCAATCGTTTGAATCTAAACCTTAATCTCTAAACCAACGGGGACTCATGGCGAGTCATCTTGGAGTTGACCACGACCAACGGCCTATTTTCGTTCTCTTCCCTGCCCGGGAAGGCGGATCAAAGAAAGGTAGCTTGCTTCTCTCCTGGACCGATGGCGGCAACTGTAGTGGTCGGCCTTCCTACCAGAATGCCTCCTTGGTCGAAGAGCCCCTTTACTAGGTTGGGCGCAGGAAGCAAAAAAACTTGCGCAAAGCCCGCTTTCTTCGCTCCGCGAATGAGAGAGAGAGGAAAAAACACGTTCTCTCTTTGCGAGGTCCGAAAGTGGAGAACGCATAGCATTCTCTGGGCACATAGGATCAAACGTAAAGCAGCGCTTTCTTGGCAGAGTTTTAGGCGGCAAGAGACTGACGGGCTTGTTGGAGCTGCTGAGCATAACGAATCGAAGCCGAAGACGGATCAAGGTTTTTATTCCAAGCCGATAGGCGAAGGGCCGAAGGATGGAGCGTGCAAAGTCGATCGTGCACCTGTCGTGTGACCCGTTGGTCCTAAGCAATGTCTTGCGCGAAGCGACCCACCTAGAAACAGCTCTCCTTTATGTTAGGGGGGCACTCAAATGGAACTTCGATCGGATGCGGGTATCCAACCCCGCCGCTGAGATGTCCAGCGGATTCCTGGGCCTTGACGAATGGCCGGCCACCTTTTACGTTAGAAGAGCAAAAGGCCCGGGGCATAGCAGGATGAACCAATGTGAATGAGTGTAAGCTTCGTTGCCCGAACACGATTGGTGCTGACCACACTAGGTGCTACCGTGGTAGCAAGAGAGGCCAGGCGGTGACAATTGAGAGGTTGTCACTGAGCATTCCTAGTCACACGGGAAGAGAGGTCAAATGGAAAGTCCATACGCCCGTCTGGCTCCTCGCGGAGTATAGCTCACATCCAAACATCTGATTGGGGAACGGGGCAACGCCCATGAAGCTCCGGCGGAAAGGGAAGGCCTGCCAGGCCGTATGCCCATGGGTGCAGGATTCTTCGAAAAAGCGCGGGCTGACTCGGAGACCTGGGAACTTGGCTTAGCAACGAATGAAGGGAAGCTCGAAGAGCTTTCTCCGCCAGCGGCTTATGTAGTGGTCGGCCAGCTCGCTAAGCTTCGCTTCCCTCCCCCCTTCCCTTATTAAAGAAAGTGAAAAGTCTGAACTTAGTAGTCGGCAGACTTGTCGAGTCTACGACATTGTGCTTCTTGTAGTCGGCCCGCCTCCCTTCATTTGCTTGCCTCCTTCCAGCCCAGAATGCCTAATGCCTATTATCTAGTGTGTTAAGCTAACCGCCGGTCCCTTCGGGTGTCGCTTCCAGCGCAGGAGGCCAAGCATTCTGCCAGACGTCCCGGCCTGGGAGCCCCGTTCGCCTTTGGTACTTCAGTAGATCTTCAAAAAAAAAGAAAAAGCGCTACTTCAATGCAGCCTTAACTACAACTACATTACGCAAGCCCCACCGATACCTATACCTACCTATAGAGTCAAAAAAAAGTACCAGTGACGGTGACTTTGACGGTTTATGGATTCAGTCAGCTAAACTCCATCAAACTCCTCAATCAATATCAACAAACAACATGTCATGACCGCTTGGTTGACTTTGGTTTGAATGTAAACTCAAATAGGCGGCTTTTATTCAAACAAAGGGAACCGAAGGTTTCCTTGGTACTTTAGTAGTATTGTTGTACTATTAATATTTAGTAGCTGTACAACACTCAATTATATCGAGCCTTGACTTTAGTATTGAGTAGTACTTAAGTAGCTAAGTTTCCAAAGGTGAACAGCCCCCTGTACTTTATAGTCGTAAAGGGCTTCTCAGAAAAGTAAGGAAGGTACGAAAGGCCGACCACTATATCATAGGCATGAAGGTGGGAAGGCCGACCAGACAGACTCTAAGTTTTTTCGATAGCGAAGCCAAGCCGCCGCCTATAGGCGAAGGGGCGAAAGCCCGGCGAAGGCCTATGCTACAGTAAGAAAGAAAGTACGAAAATAAGTACGTTAAGGTTACGAAGTCACTTAGCCGTCTACAAAGGGAAAGGCGTCGGTACGGAGTCACGTTATGGATATAGACTAGGCTAGTTGGAACGGTCAACTATGGGCCGAGACTACACTAAGGAAGAAGTCAGCGAAAGTGAGCTCGTAACTAAGAAAGCCGGTATCAGAAACGAAACCCTTCAAAAAGAAAAAGCAAAGAAGTCAAGGAACGAAGCTGCTTCTCTAATAGCCCCGTTGAATAGGAGGGCGAAGGCTTTTTCGAACTTTGATTTTTATAGAGGGGGGCTTCGACCTTCTTAGGAAGAGCCGTACGAGGCTGCTCACGTACGGTTCGGGAGCCGAGCCACTGCACAGGGGCTTAGGTCAACACTTATATATTAGCCAGTCATCAATTGGAAGCGGGTAATATGGTGATAAATTGCGATTGCTCCAAACCTTCTAAAAGCGGCTTCTTGCGACCTGCCCAGAATGCTCATACATACCTTCGGTTCCAAGAGCTTGTTCGCGCAGCGAATAAAGGTCGGGTTGAAGGGGGCAGTCAGCTGGCTGCTTCTTGGCCACGCCCCCCTGCTTATAGATATGAGATATTGGATCTAAATTCAAAAGTAGGAAATAGCATACCATTAGCTGATATACGTATGGGAACATGGGTACATGATATTGAATGTCATCCAGGTCAAGGCGCAAAGCTGGCTCGGGCCGAAGGAACTTATGCTTAAATAATTAAGGAGCCAGCCTCACAATGTCTTGTGCGGCTACCATCGGGTGTTGAAAAACTCATAGATTCCCGATGCCGAGCTACTATTGGTATAGTTTCCAATCCTGGTGCACGTAAGCTTAGAAAAGCAGGACAAAGCCGGTGGTTAGGCAGACGCCCCATTGTTCGTGGTGTTGCAATGAATCCAGTGGATCATCCTCATGGAGGAGGTGAGGGGCGCACGAAAGGAGGTAGACCTTCGGTCTCACCTTGGGGGAAGCCCACCAAAGCAGGATTTCGGGCAGTAGTGGGGGTGGGGAAAGGCAGAAATGAGTTCATGCCACGACGATCTATATGGAAGGGAAGTTTTGTTGATGCTTTCCTGTTTAGAATAAAGAAGAACAGAGAAAGTCTGATGAGCAGGAAAATTTGGTCACGTAGATCTTCTATTTCGCCGGAATTCGTTGATTGCTCCGTACTCATTTACAATGGAAAAACTCCTGTTCGTTGTAAGATCACTGAAGGAAAGGTTGGTCATAAATTTGGAGAGTTTGCTTTTACACGGAGACGAAGACCCCATAGAACAAATAGAGGAAAGGGCAGAAAGGGGAAAAAGTCAAGTCTAAGTGACATATGGCACGAAAAGGAAATCCAATTTCGGTAATCCGAATCCCGCTCCAATCCCTCCTGCGCAGGTTCCCGCTCCAATGCCTGGAGCGGCAGCGGAAGCAGAACAGAACCCTCCTTTCTTTTGATTGGGAGGGACGACCTCTCTCTCCTTGAGAGGAAAGTTCTCTACAAAAGGCCCACGCCTGTCACGCCCAGATTTTGGACACATTGCGTGATATTACTCTTCTATGACTTCACTTCGCTTCTAAATTACATCTATCCTCGCTTCAACCGCATTCGCTTAAGAACAAGAAACTAACTATGTAATTCTCCTCTCAATTACATCGACCCTCTATGACTGAACTTCGCTTCGTTCGTTGGGAAGACGTCCAGAAACTTAGAACACCGAGTTGTGTCTAATAAAGTTCGGGTAGGCGTAATAACGAAGCGCGCTAACACGATTAGGGGTTTACCGAGGGCTACAAGACGCCGGACATCGTTGGAGTTACTGCTAAGGATTAGATCCCCGCTCCCAGAGAGACCCAGACGCAGACGCATCCGTAAGCGAGGCTACCGTCCAGCTGTGGGGTCAACGGGAGTAGGAAGCACACTCCATCGCCTAGCAGTATAGAATTACTACTGGGGCACGCGAGTATACCATGGCTCCATACCGCATGCTAATTCCCGAGTATGACCTTCCCTCCTTGTGTGGGGAGTGTACCTATTGCACGTGCGCCAAGTGGACCGGCTGACCCGGGCTCCCTTAGGACACGCTACGGAATCGCGAGCACTAGCTCACCGAGCGATTCATACCGGGAATGCGGGAGGTTCATGGGCACGAGCGCTCGTACTCACAAACCGTGATTCGAGGTTCGGAAGGTGTGTAGGAGATAGAGTAAGTCAAAAACTAGTCAAAGAAAAAACTGGGCTACTCACACCCTGTGGAAGGCTTTGGAGGACAAGTTTCTGAAGAAGAGGGGACAGAACAAACTCCCTTACTCAACTAAGTACTCCGAAGCGATTGTGGAGATTTCAGTATCGGCAAGGCACATCGATGAACGACCACGTCACTGCATTCAATCAGTTGGTTGCAGATTTCTTTCATTTGGACTTCACATTCAGCCATGAAGATTTGGCTCTTATGTTCTTATCATCTCTTCCCGATGAGTTCGAGCACGACGAGACTACCCTGCTCCATGGGAAAGACGATCTTACTCTTGCTGTGCTTTGTTCTGCTCTGTACAGCTATGACTTGAGAAAGAAGAATAAAGAAGAGGCGAAGGGTGCAGCAGCAGAAAATGAAGCCTTGATTGCAAGAGGTCGGGCGAAGAGCCAGAAGAAGAAGAGACGGGGAAGGGCGCCTTCGAAAAGCTTGACAAAGACGAGTGTGCTTTCTCCCACGAGAAGGGACACTGGAAGAAAGACTGTCCGAAGTTGAAGAAGAAAGGCAAATCACTCTACTTTCGCACACTCTATTATTGAAGACGATCTCCATCATCCTGTGGGTCTGCACCTATATAAGTAATTTTTAAAATGATAGAATCAGACCTTAACCTTAACAAGGAATAGAAGAGAATCGGACCGAAACTCGTACCACATTGAGGTCAACGAAATAGCTCATTGAAAACCTTCCTTCTCTCTATTCTTTCATAGCTCAACGAAAGCTCTATGAACTAGTCTAGTCCTTCTTCCTTGAGAAGTAGATCTCCCTAGTTCAAAAGTAAATCCGGGCAAAGAACTCTAAATTCGACTACTCGCCAGGGGCCCTTAGGCCTGTCGTCGGTGATTCCCTTTCACTTTCTAGGGCTATCTCTTCCTTCTGGGGATGTGCTCCTTTCTAATTCTAATTACAGGGCCTTGAGTGTAGAAGATCTCACTATAGCGAAGACTAAGTGCCTTCAATAAGCATAGGATATCCGGGAACGATTTAGTGGTATACGCCCGATGAAGAGCTTACCCTTCCTTGTTAAGGCTTTCGTCTCTTCTATCTTTATAGTAGCCAGAGATCTGGCGGGATACCGCTTAGTTTGTTCTTTCTGGAACTCCTGACTACCTAGTTGTAAGGTTCATACCTTTTCACTAAAGATTTCCAGTGGAATTTCTAGGCGTATTCTCGAGTCCGAACGTTCGCATACTTCTTTCATATTTAAGCCATGCAAGAATACGGGCGTCGAATAATGATAGAGATACTTGATCAAACTTCCTACGTCCGGTCCCGAGACGAGACAAAGCTTTCGGCATAAAGAAAAGCCGGTGATAGCGCCGGCATGTTCAAAGACCCCTCACGAGTGATTTACGCGATGCGTGGAATTTCGGCGCTTTTTCTTTAGTCAACCAAGCCTCCTGGATTACCACCAGCCCTTGACTCCTTTACATATTTGTAATAGTTTCCAAAGGTCGGTGAAGTTGCTAATGCCATAATGCCATAAAGGGCTCTTCTTTGAGGAAGTTTTGGGAGAAAAAGGGCCCTTTTCTAAAGAGGCTCTCTTTATATTATTTTTTGAACCCTTTTTGGGTGTACGCCGACAAGGGAAGAGAGGAGAGAATTTTCCGAGGCATTGGGCTACACAACAAGACTCACACAGCTTTTCCACCATTCTAGGTCATCTCATTTACAGCATTTCTTTGTCACGCTTCGAAGGACCCTTTCTTTCTTCCATTGCAGACTTGGGAGCACTGGAGAATACCATTCTTTTCTCATTGACTTCTTCAGATGGTATTCTAGGAAAACTTTCTCTCATAGCAGCAGTCCATCTCGCGTCAGCAGCGCATCTTGCATCAGGAAAAGCAGGGTAATCATTAGTCCACGAGACCGAATGTCTCTCTCAAGGTTTCGCGCTCAGCCTTCTCATTCCACACTCTCTTTTTGACACAGTCAGCTGAGGAGCGAAGCGAAGTGAAGTCCTGGTGTAGCCCTGGATAAGCCCTCATGATCCCCTTCATGCCTTCCTTCCACTGGACCGGCAAGTTTTCTTTGCATATGGCTGGTCAATTACATCGAACCTTCCTTCTTCATTCATATGTAGTGACGTTCGTAGTCCGGAAGCTACTCTCTTGGGCAAGATTAGCAAGACAGTCAGCGCATTTGTTCCCCTTGATGACTTTGTATTGATCCTTGGAAAGGATTTCATGGTAAAAGCGAAGGCCTATCCCCATCTGTCAGAAGATTCAGTGTCGAGAGAAAGGGCGACTCAAAGTAGCCTTCTTCTCTTCTTCTTTAGGCGTGAGCCGCTAGTTGAGTCCAAGGGACTTCACTTCGCTTCGCTTCGTTTGTACCCAAAGGTCGTCAATTTCATCGAGCCTCTCTCACTTGCTTTAGAAGACGGGAGGTCACCACACCTTTCTCGGTTTCAGCCCTAATCTGTTGGAAGATATCGCCTTAAACCTGTTCCAATGGCGAACACTGAACCACTGGAAAAAAACCTACTGCGAGCATCGGCTACTACATTGGTCTTGCCCAGTTTCTAGTTTTGATTTCAAAGTCAAATGCAACTCTGCCCAAAAGCTCTTCGGGCTTGTTTTGGCGTAAGTTTCTTTTTAGTATCAAAGTAGCTCATTGCAAAATGATCTGTCTGGATTTAAAACTTCCCACCCAATAGATAATGTTTCCAAAACCACAAGCAATGTACTAAAGCAGTCATCTCCTTTTCGTGAACAGTACAAAGGCTGTTCCGTCTCATTAAGTTTCCAGCTTTCGAAGGCCACCGGTTCGCTCGCTATTGCTATCTTCAGCTTTTCAAACGCCATTTTACAATCAGGAGACCAGAATCATTTCTGGTCTTTCTTCAATAAGTCTGTTAGTACTACTACTTTCTTTTAAGAACCTTCAATAAAACGCCGATAATAGTTTGCCAAACCCAAGAAAAATCTCAATTCAGTGACCTTAATGGGCGTAGGTCACTCAAGAATAGCCTTTTTCTTTCTAGAAACCTGTCCGCGCCAAATACGATGTCATAAAAATGGAATCTCTGTCTGAGGTTAATTACATCAAGCCTGCTTAAAATACAATACAATTCATGCTCACTGAGCTTAGCCAGGACTAAGATTAAATGTTCCACATGCTCTTATCTGGACGATATCATCGAGGTAAAACAACAACGAAACGGTCAATGTAAAGCCGAAAAAGTAAATTAATCAAATTACAGAAAGTGGCAGGAGCATTGGTCAGGCCAAAGGGCATAACGCTATACTTAAACACACCATATCGGGTAACATAGTGGTCTTTGGCTCATCTCCAGCCGCTATTCTGACTTGATAGTACCCGGAGCGTAAGTTCAGCTTAGTGAAAGAAGTGGCCTTCCTCCAACGATCGAACAAGTAAGCCACCAGCGGGACTGGGTATGTATTTTTCACCGTCACCTTATTAAGAGCACGATAGTCAACACATAGTCTAAGGGACCCCTCTTCTTTCTTTTTAAAAGAGGACAGGTGCCCTATACGGCGCTTTAGAGGGTTTAATATCACCCGCTTCAAGCAATTTCTATAATTTCTTTCGAATAGTTCGACGGGAGCCATCCGGTAAGGTGCTTTAGCCGGGGGCCGTGCACCTGGAACCAACTCAATGATAAATAGCCCTTCGGGTAGGAAGAACTCTCGGTAGTTGCATGACATCCGAGAACTCAGTAAATATTTCAAAAATAGAAATCAAAAAAAAGATGTTATTGCTTTCGGAACCGGGGCTTCCCCAACATTTTCGTTTTCTATAAGAGTGGCTAGATAGGGGCGAGGGTCGATGTAATTGAGATGAGGTTCCCATGATGATGACATGCAACGTCATATCCGTCCGAACAGACTGAACATCTAAAGAGCTCATCATTGAGCTAGACCGGAAAGATGAACGCCGAGCTAAGGTCGCAATAGCCCGAGACTTGTTGGGGGGCTGAGAATGAGGCCGCAGGTCTCTGTCGATTTATACGGCCGTGGACCCGTAAATAGGCCGGCATTAAAAGCAGGAGAAGGTCAATGTAATCTTTAGAAGCTTCTATGACTTCACTTCGCTTCGAAAAGTTCCCTCAAAATACAGATAGAAAAAGAAAGATCTTAGCGTTAGAGCTTCCAGAAAAAATCTATAGATTACTGGACGGTATGTAACAGAACTCGTAGGGATAGAAGCAGTGCTGGCCCCATTTTCCATACACAGTACCTAGTCCCCGCTCTTAACGTCCTCTCGACGATGCATCTACTATTCCTAGTAGACGTCTAATCCCATGTGCTCCTTAGCGATCCTGTAGATTGATAAGTACTATAGGCTTAGTACTGGAAGGCAGTAGTGAAACTGCTAGCCTGGTTCATACCTTTCCCTAACTTAGGTACCAATGGCTACCACCAGGAGCGGGCTGCCGAGCCGCCGAAGATAAGGACGCATGTGTGTAAGCCCGATTCAGCTAGCTACTTAGGATGAATCACACCGAGGGTCGATGTAATTGAGAAGACTATTTATGATAGAAAAATGACCCACAGGCTATATTATTCTATAGAAAGAAAGAGGATATTAGATCAACTAACTAGCAGCCCCAACTGGAAAAGAAAGGGGTATACTGGAAAGATGGCAAGAGGAACCCTAGGGCAACTCACATAGCGCCAATAAATGCATTCCCAGGCCCAGGGTATGTAGAAGTTCTTTGACTTCCTGCTTTTACTTTCAAAGGCTTCCGTCATAGAAGGCGAAGAGCGCACAGCTTCTTAAGGTATAGAATATTACATCTTTTTCACGTAAGCTGGTTGTACTTTCTTTGTTTGTTCATACAGGCAGTGTGATTGGGGGGGCATATTTCTTGCTTCCCAAGGTAGTTAGTTCATCACACAGGCATGTTAGTACTCAACTGTAAGAATTATGCCTGTCATCAAATTCATGCCGCATTGCAACCTTCCTCTCCCTGTCGGTTATTTGAATATCACTCTCCCGTCTCTGTTGGCCTTCGTTCCTCTCCTTGTAAGTTATCGCTCCTCTTTGATTGTGCACAGCCCCAGCCCCTACTTTGACTGGTCTTGGATTCTTCACCACCTGGTCCTGAAGCTACCTTTTACTATGCCTTAGCCTTGAGTGTAAGCCCTCTAACGTTTTGTAGGCTTCTTTCCTTAGGTCTCACATCTTGCTTGGCGCCCTCGTATTCAACTAGTAGAGTCGGGGCAGATAAAGGTAAATTGAAGTCGCCCTTGATCCTAACCCAAAAGCGCTCTTAGTAAGTAGAGGGCGAGGGGGTTAGCTAGACAGCAGGTTCGATGTAATTGTCTCGACCATAAGAACGAAGCGAAGCGAAGTGAAGTCATAGAGGAGCAGAGGATGAGAAAATCCGCTAGGCCCACCCTAGGCCTACTTTCTACCTCTTTCCAGCACCTTAGGCAGTAATGGAGAGTGTCCCGGAAAATCAATATCTCGAGGTTAACCGAACCAAGAATTTCGAGCTTCCTTCCAACCAATGCCTCAAGGCAATGTAGAATATCCTCCGTCTGTGTTTGGCAGCAGGGAAAGAGAGTATAGACATCAACTCATCGATGAAGCAGTTTCTGTTACGAGAGTAGAGAAGGATAAGATTCTCTCTGTCTATACCAGAGACGGGAACAAGCCTAAGGGCCCTTCTTTCTTTCAAGCAGAAGGACAAAAAGAAAGAACCAGACGAAGACTCAAAGGAGTAATAAGATGTGGAGAAGGAGACGGTTGAGGTGGAGACGGAAGAGATGGTAGAAGTTCAGAGGGAATGCTTTGTTAGCACACCAAAGCGGATCTGGATAGTTTTGACTTCGAGAGAGGAAGGAACGAAGCGGAGCGAAGTGAAGCTATGCCCACTGCTCAAAATCCGAAGACTCGCTTTCTTTCGCTCCTCCAACAGCTTAGGAAAAAGCAAGGACGAAGCGAGCCACGGGAATAAGGCAAGCGCAAGGGTCAATTGGCCAAGCCATCATCATAGGGGATATAGGCATCGTCGAACAACGGATCCACTTGCTCTAAAAGCAAGCCTGACCTTTCACTTTGACTGACTCCTCTTCCGTTGGTCTACTAAATTGACATAGACCTCTCCGGTCGAGCTATTGACATCTCTGCCCCTGAACAGGATAAGCCTTTTATGCCCCCTTCCCTTATTCAGCAGAGTGGTGCTCACTTACCCGGTAAAGGCGGAGAGATAGGAAGGATCCCCTCGGCCCCAGATTCTCCCCACTCAAAGACACCATCACAGCCCAACCCCAACACATGCAAACAAATAAGGCTCGACGTACGGACTATACTTTTACAATAGAATACCTGGAATCTCAAAGCAGCACCAAGGCTGAGTAAAAGGAGATAACTAACGAAGAAAGGGTTTCGATATGTCACATTTCCAGAATCGGAATATCCCGAATCATGAAAAAAAGAAAGAAGATGACGGAACGAACGAAGCGAAGTGAAGTCAAAGACGCGAAGAAAAAGTAAAAAAAAGATGTGAACGTGAAGACAGAGGCCAGGAAACGAAGCTCGTGGTAGTTTCCCAAGTAGCTGTAGCTTTGGTGAAAGGGAAAGCCCAATAACGGCTTGCTTGGTGCGGTAGAAAACCCCTTTTTTTTGGTAGGTCACCACTTTATTCCTCTTTAGAGGGAACATCAAAATGTATAAAAGTCTCACCGTTCAGCAGTGAGAGAGGAGACGACCCACAAAAGATTGACGAAGGGAGGGATGCTAACGGCATTCTACGCTCTCGATCCATAGACGAGAGCAACCAACTGGGTAGAATGGTGTCCAAGGGGTGGAAGGGAAATAGAATACGAAGTAGGGAAGCTCGGTTCCAAACCTTACAAGGTGAAAAGACAATCGAAAGGGCCGGACCACACATGTTGTGGATAAGGAGGGGTTCTTCTGTGAGGACCGTGTATAGGTTGAGATTCCAAGGCAAATGAAGAAGAAGAATGATCACATGCCCGCCTAGTAGTAAGCAGAAAATGCAAAGTAGCCCCAACGAACGAAGCGAAGCGAAGTTCAGTCATAAAAAAGGAGTTAACTGGCATGGATGACACCAATAAGCTCAATGTAATCGACCCTCAATGCTGCGAATACTTATTTGCTGCATTTCATCAACTTCGAAAAGAAGGAGGAAGGAAAACGCATCTCGCGATGGATTGAATTTTGGTTCAAAGTTCCCGGGTAGTTCTTCCTTATGAAGGTGGGACTGTAAAAGCACCGGTTGAAGTACCAATTCCAACTACTTTTCTACTGCAGCTACGGCTGCTGATCGATCTAGTCTAATAGTTTTCCCGGTACCGGTAGAAGTAAAATGCTACTATAGCCGAAATTAAGCTAATCATGGTTCCCGCTCTTAGCCGTTGGGAGTCCGATGGGAATCCAAGCTAGTCAAAATGCTCGAAATCACACTATATGAGAATTCCAGGGCCCAACAGAGGGTCGATATAATTGAGGTCAATTACATCGAGCCTTAGAACTAGCGTTTTGCTTTCTTTAGTGGTCCCTTCTGGTTGATCACTTCGGTGTTTAAAAGTAGCTCCTTCTTGTCTTCTTTTTCAAGTAGGTGAGTTCTCAATTACATCGACCCTAGGGAGATGCTTGGAATCGGCTTCATCTAGCCTTGAGGGATTGGGGGGGTAGTTGTCAGGGTAACGTCTGATCAGTGGTTTGGTGGTCTAACTCGGTAACCCGAACCCGGACACCAGGAGCTCCGTTATTAAACTAGGCTTTCTATCTATCGCATATTATGGAAAGTTTCAAGCCAGGGCTTTCCACTCGGGTCACCCTTGTGAGGTCATAATTACAATAATGTAATATATAGTATAGTAGTAACCTCAACATGATCTCGGGGTTGACATCTATATCATATTCTGGAAAGCTCAGGCTTGCCCCGGTCTCTTACCTAATAGGTAAATCGGTCTCACCGGCCTCATCCCTTTAGTACTACCTTCGAGGAACGAAGTAACTTGACTTCTATGACTGAACTTCGCTTTGCCAATACTTCTGACTGAACTGCGCTTCGCTTCGTTCGTTGGGGAGAGAAAGTGATTTGAATCCGTTATAAGACAAGACGTCAGAAAGTTCAGTAGAGTGAGGCTAAGGGGTGGAGCGCGGGACTGGCTTGCTTTCTTAGTTATCAAATTATCTTCTAGAAAACCTTCCCGTAACCGAAAATTCCAGTCCCCGCCTTCGACTTATACTTAGAAGAAAGTCTATTATGTGAGGAGGACTCCTCAATGGCACCACTCCTAAAGAAAGAGAAGACTTTGAACTTTGAATTTCCACCACTTGCTTGAGTTGACTCTTGTTAGGGGATAAAGATTCGATTGAGAAAGAGTAGAAGGAGAGCGAAGTGAGTCTCGACCCTACAAACTTTTCGAAGCGCAGTGAAGTCCCTGGAAAGGCAAAGTTGACCTCGACTATAAATCCGAGGTGAGGGTCGATGTAATTGAGTTGAGGAAGCGAAATTTCATTCTTTTCCTTGCCCAGTGTCTGAAGACACGTAGGATACCTCCCATTGATTGATTTCGTCCTTACCCTCGTCAATTGTATCGTACTTTTGTTTATGTTTGCTGTCATTCTGTCCCTATCTATAGCTGATAAGGAGAGGAGATGGCGGTCCTCTTGATTGAGAACCGGGGAATCCATCTAATCTGGTTCCAGTGAAGGAGATCCAAAGAAAAGTCTACCAACTCACTCTGTAGGCTACCTAAAAGCATCAGCTGCCGATTCAGATCCGGGAAAGCTGCCCAGCGAACTTCCAGGTAGCACAGCCGGCCAAACGGACACTCGTAGTAAAGCCAGGTCTTTCAAGCCTACTCTCAGTCTCCGTATAAAGGAAAAAAAAATGCATTGTAGTATGATTTTGACGAAAGGACTAGGTCAATTGCATCGTACTTTTGTCTAGCCCACCTTTCTTTCCTACTCCGATCTCGCCTTTACAGCCAGTAATGCTCGATTCCCACCTCCCCACTCTCCATCCGCCGCTGAAGAAAGAATAGAACCTGCCCCTATTTATAGTTCTATGCTTACAGGTAAGAATAAGAATCATCAGAATCCCACCCAACGAACGAAGCGAAGCGAAGTGAAGGAAAGGTGTAATTGAGATTGTGTTATAGTAGGGTTAGACTGCCTCTCTTATTAATGCACGGCTGAGGATAAATCTGTGGCTTAACTTGTTTAATCTCTTTCATCCTATCTGTCTTGCCTTTCTTCTTTGGTGTGGTCTTCCCGAGGGAACAGGAAAAGGATAGCAGTCAAGCGCATCTAGTGTTGGAGAAAGGGGCATCCAATGCTTCCTGCCATCGAAAAAGGTTAAGTCACTACAATAGCAGTGGGGGAATTTCTCGCAGGGTTCCAAACCTATAGCCAGAGTCAGTCGTTGGACTTTCTTTGCCCTTGATCTTTATATAGAATTGAAGTGTCCCTTCATCTCAACTAGAAAAATCTCACGATTAAAAGGTATCATGGATAAGACTGAAGTATGTACGATATAACCCTCTCTTCCGCTACTGGTAATGGTCGATCGAACCAAAGAAAAGAAGTCAGAAAGCAGACAATCCAACTCACGTGAGAGATGGTAACGAAGCCCAAAGATTAATGGAAGGCGGAAATGGGTAAGCTTACTAATAGAGGGTATCAAGCTCCAACTAGGAAGTCCCAACCTTTCGCCATACGACAAGATGGCAACTTGACATGACAACAAGCGGCCTGTAAGCAAGCATCTAAGTTATATATCTGGATTTCTTTTCGTTCGATATCGCTTGCCGAGAGGTCAATTACATCGAGCCTTATTCAAAAGGGAAAGATATGAATCAATACGAATTTCGGTGGGGGACTTGAACCATATTATTTTTATCTGGGAATTTTGATGAATGCCTTTTGTGATTAGGAGACATGGTTTACAACTGATCGTCGGTTGGCATCTATCTGGGGATGTCGATTTCAATTCCTCCACCCGTGGGAGCACCGGGTGGGCCTAAGAGCATTGAGAGGACCTTTCCACAGTTGACGAGAGAAAGGGCTGTAGAGCCGATTTCAGTCGGATGCGAGCAAGGAAGCGCTAGCCTCTGATGAGTGATTGGTCGTCGATAGTGCTTTCTTGCGAATTCGCAGCTGCGCGTCTTCGCCTTTATATTCATACCTATGACGGTTGTATGGTCCATTCTACCCTTACGTTCCAGTTTACTCTCACCTTTCTGTTCGTTCCATTGTACCATCATGCGGAGTTCTTGCTACGGGAGAGTACAAGCCAAGCTCTTTTCTCTTGTTACCACGCCATTATAGAATGAGACGAGCCCTTATTTAGCCTAAGATGAAGTTGCAATCCAATTCAGAAGAAGGTCTGAATAGATGGGACTTTCCGGTCATATTAAAGAGCATATCTTGGTCTTTCTTCCCGTACTGATACAGTATTGAAAGCTAGGAAGTCTAATGCATTGGCCTAACCTTATACCAGGCTTAAGCCCATATACCCCGGATGCCAAGTCCGGTAACTTGCTCTGCTCCCCATCGAAAGAGACTGCGATAGGAAATAGAGTAGGCGGAGACCTCAGATATGGTAGTAAAGTCAGTCTAAAGCCTTTGATGAATGGCAAGAACGTCCGCTTATCTTGATGCTATAGATGGTCTAGCTAGAGATGCGTCAGTCTCTTCCTCATCACTCATCAATTGCATCCTTATAATTGCCTAAGGCGGCAAAGATCGAAGATGATCCGAAGTAGGAAAGAAAGACCGAGCAAGTAGTATTGACTTAGACGGCCTACCTTCATACAAAGACTGATAGCTTTCGGGGAATGACTTATTTGATCTATTTAGTTTCTTTCTCGTCCTTCTTCCCTCTCTTTGACTTCACTTCGCTTCGCTTCGTTCGTACACTGCGCTTCGAAAAGTTTGTTGGGTAAGACTCCTTGTATATAGGCTCTGAAAGACCACCTCTCATCCGGCGTTAAGTTGGAAAGCTAGCTAGTCTCCTCCACGCTTAACCATGCCCGCCTTCTTGTGCTGTGCAAGGAAGTTGGCCCTATCAGCCAATGAAAACTGGTCAGGGGCAGGACTTAGTAGATGATGACTTGGATTATCAATGCCTTAAGCGCATTACGGATTTGAGTTCTTGACTAGTTCACTCGCTCTTACCGTTGGTCGTTCACGTCTTTATGTTTGCTGAGGACTTGTCGTTGGGCCTACGGTTTCTTAAATTCAAAATTGACTAGTTCGCTACTACAGGAGAGGGGGAACCCTTTCCGTCCCCAGTGGCAAGAAGAACAAGGTAACGGATGGAAGATAGATAGAACGAGGTTACATTGGAACTGGCAGTCAAGTAATCAAGCTACTGCCCTTCCTTGGGCTATGAGGGATAGGAGTTCCTGGCCCCATTTAGCAGTTGACTGCCTGATCTTCTTTCTTTTTCAAGTCACGATCAGAATAAAAGAAAGGGAAGTTCGCTAACTAAACCGAAAGAAGAAGCTGTGGGATAGGACGACCTATCTGTGTATAGAGTATAGATCCAACGCCGGTAATAGAACGAGAAAAGCCGGCTGCTAAACTCCGAAAGCGAGGCTGGCGTCGGATATGGATGAGCTTGAGGAAGGAGAAGAGAAGATCAGTAGGCGAATGAAAAAGAAGATTATAGAGAAAAACGCTTTGAAGATCCCATGAAGGGAATCACCAACGAGGGCGGGTTATCGTGAGAAATTGAGCTATTCATTTGCCCAATCCGGCTAAAATCCAATGTCCGCCTAGCCTTGTTGATCGGTATACCCTAAGATGGTTCACTTCGGAGCAGCTTTTCAGCGTTGTAGAGGCGAAAGCCCTTTATTAAATTCATTCCGCGGCTACGAGGGGAAACCCGAAATACGGGTGTAGAGGAAAATCCATAGTTTTCATAGTTCCCCCTTCGGTCGATCAAACTTTCTTTTTCCTTAGCACTTCGTACTAAGATAGATTCACCTTCAAAGAGTCCCCGTAGAAAGAAGTTAGGTATGACTCAAAGGTTGCATTTTTATGCATTAGGGGTTGTTGGGGAGTTAGTACAGTTTCAAGGCAATTGCTCCTTAGCCGCTAGGAAAAATGCTTCCACAACCGCATCCGCATATCCTCGATACAAGATTGACTTTGACATCGCTCGTGCCACACAAACGGAAATTACTTCACTCGGTCAAAGACCACAAAAAGAATTACTTGAGCCGGGAGGTAGTCAACCGATTACAAGGATTATTGGCTGGAGGGTTATTCGCAGACTGAACTGATAGGATTAGATTAGAAGGCGTAGGCCTATGGTTCTCCAACCGAATCTCCATTCCCCCCATAGAAAACAAGAAAGACAGACATACTAATACAATAGAAGATGGAACCTTATCTGATTCTATAACAGAATAAGGGAAAGCAGTTTCCACAGTTTCAAGGAAAGAAAAAGACTTCTCTTGTGATCCAGGCCCGGGAGTTAATCAATTTCCTCTGATACGACTTCGAAGAATGGTCGGACTTCTTACCCGAAAGATCCATTTTGAATTGCTTAGGCACAAAAGAAGGTGAGTACACTTCACTCGATATCGAATACTCAACAGACAGGCAGACCGGATGAAAAGGAAGAATCAATCGCCCATGCTGATAAAAAAGGAAACCCGTAACCGCGCTTTCACTTAAAAACTGAAGGGAATGAGCCGAGGCCAGGAACTTAACTACCAGCTTTCGGGTCAGGAGGGAAACTAACTAAAGCAAGGGCAAAGGCTTCCCCGATTGTTAGAACTCCTTGGACCATTGGAAGGCTTATCGGATTAGGCAGCTGAAAAGGCTGAGACGATAGGCTTTGATTCATCAGTTTTAGGCCTTAGACGAGAGGGCGTTAAGCAGCCAGTTTCCCTCATAAAGAAATGCACCACTTCTACAGACTGGACTAAGAGATGTAATATCATAGGATATTTCACCTTCTCCGACATAGACCATTTCGAATGATAGCGGAATGACTCAAGGCTAAGGCATTGGGCCAAGCAGCAAGAATAAGAACATAGGGCTATAGTGCTAGACCCGGAAGAAAGCTCGATCTGATACCCTTACTTTCTTTCAGGCTAAAGGAAAGCTATTCGCCAAGCTAATTGAAGTGGATTCTTCCCAACTTCGAGAGTGAGATTGATCCGACTAACCAAGCAACGGTTAGTTGTGCGGTAGCGTAAAGGGTGCGATAGTAATAGGAAAAATACTAAGAAAAGTCTTTCTGGGTTATGCCATAATGTCTCCTTGATCGCTTAGACGCCCTTCTTGATCGACTGCTCTCGTACAGCCCTTACTATTCTTCCTCTCAAAGAAAACTTGCATATAGGGGAAAGAGTAAACCCATGAACTAGATTCTAGAAGGCTAGAATCTTATGTACACGGGCCCGGCGTACCTCGTGTGTTCGAAATGCTCACTCCTCTTTCTATATGAGCAACCTATCTTAGGCGAGTCTCCGGTAAAGAAGATCTCTGTCATTGATTTCTCGTCCTTTTCCGGGTCCTTAAATCCGCTCCTTTTGAAGCTTCCCTCTTAGTAATAATACCCTAAAGAATGAATTTTATGGTCCGTCGTGGAAACCGGTGGGTCAGACGCTGGCTCTATTCAGTAGGTCGGACTCCACGTGCGCCCTTGCTGTACGAGAACGAACGGCTTGATGAGTTAAGGTCAGCAAAACCTTCTTCAGGACTCAGGTGAAGATGCATGCTTTCCACATCCCTTAGCAGGAGAATGGTGGACTTGTTGGTAGACGCATATATAACCTTTCCCCAATCAGCGGGTAGGTGTCCGGTACTGCTATCATAACATATTAGTCCGATGTGAATCCTATCCCGACCTTATCCACTTCTCTTAGAGGAAGTTTCTTGCTTGACTTCAGAATGAAATCTCACGGGCCGGACCTAATTCCTCTTTTCGGCGAGCGCCTAGAAGAGACGGGAAAGGCGCCTACATAGAATACACTGCATAATGCATCTAATAAATAGGGCTGCACACAACTAAACCAAAGGAAAATGCGCCAATTTGGATTTCCGGAGTTACCATTGCACCTTTTTCACCGAAAGGCACTCTTTGAACTGGCGTCAATTAGTCCACTTAAGATGGATGAGCCTACAGCGGACCAGACACGTCCTAGCATGGGTTTGCGTGGGAGTCGACCTTTTGGCGGATCCAATTCCAGAGATTGCAATTGTTTGCGAAGATATTGTTTTGCATCAATCGGTGGTTTATGAGAATGCCTTACTGTCGTACTTGCAAACATATGGGTCATGCTGATGAAAATTGTTATCAGAATGGTAATTTAAGGCCTAGCCTAACAGGAGTCATTGCCCGCCTACCTATCTGACTGTCTTACTTAAGCGCCCTTGGTTCCTTACGGTGAGGAATTGCTTTTTCTCTCCTGATTGGGCTCTTCCTCATCAATCTTCTGCAGCTTCTCTTTCTGCCTGGTCTACGATCTTTTTGCTTCTGGTCTGATCTTCATCAGCAGCGGCTTTGGCAGTCGTTCCTGAGTTGCCCATTGGGAAATCCCCTTGAATAAAACCCTAAATGATGATTGAGCTTTAGAGTGAACCCTTTAATCTGAATTCCCTAAAAGATGGTTTCCAAGATGGAGACTGGACTGGTCTCCTCTCCAAGGTTTGAGATCACTAAATAGCGTCGTGGGCTAGTCCATGAGAAGTAGGCGATGATCCCTCAAATGGTTCTTATTTCCCCTCTACTTTGGTCAGAAGTTTGCTTCACTCATTGTTATTAGTCTTTATTGTGAATGCTAACTTTCCGGGTTAGTGTTCGGAAAGTGTTCACTTGACCGCCCTGTCCGCTTACTGTATCGCTTTCACGCTACTGTAATGGGCATGCTCTCAATCATTTGCATTGATTGGCACCTTTAGGAAGATCAAGAAGAGAAGCAGGAGAGAGCGATCACACGTCTAGAACCCTATGCAAGAGCTCAGTTGAGTTAAGGGAGGGTTAGTAGGGAACTTAGATCAGTTGGTTAGTTACAACCATTTGTTCAACCATTTGTACTAACTACTCAGTCTTAGGCGAGAGCCGGAGTGGAGTTAGCTACCAATCCTTAGTTGGGTACCATACGGCACTCATAGCAGTGGGGTTAGCTCAGGTTTTCTTAGTTAGCTCGCCTACGGTGGAATGGATACCAGTTAGATCACCAGCTAAAGCTCCTGGTATTGGTCTTTGGTAAGGGTCTTTAGCGAGAGGACTTGTCAACTCGTTCTATGCCTGATTGTCCAGGCTTCGGATACTCTTTCCATCAATCCGATGCATATGACCGGAAGAACTCGCCAGCTGCCTACTTGTACCCATAGTACGGAGACTGGCTTCCGAAGTAGCTACGGACACTGCTATTCCGCAATGTCTACAACCAGTCTTGGGAAAAGGAGATCAGGTGAGGGAACGCAGGGAAGGCAATCCAATCTAAGGAAGAAGAGTTTGAACTATGGGCAGCTGGAGTAGTATATGGGGATCGCTCGTTAGGACAAGTCTTGATCGGGGCACTTGAGGAGGGGTAGGGCAGCCGAAGGGACGATAAGACGCCCTTTTGCCCGGTGGTCCTGAAGAGACTCTTGCCCGGATTCGTTGGAGGGGCCAGGTTAACGTATGAGAAGGATTGCGAACACAAACACAATCTTCATAATCGAAATTAAAGTAGGAGACGAAAAATAAGATATTCCTTGCTCGCTACAAGTCTTTTGCTCGTTCGCCCCGTCTACCCGCTATTGGAATAGGCCACACGTCTTAGTCACCTTCTTCAGTGAAGGAAGAAGCCCGCCAGCTTACTATACTAAGGGAAGAAAGAGGGTGCTATTTAACAGTGGTAGGGGAAGTCGCGCAACCAGACTCTTGTTCTTCCTCTTCAGCGGGGGATGCTGCTTCTCGAGTTGAAGCTGCTAATGCCCTATCTTTCTTCTCTACTGCCTTTAGCTATAGCTTTTCGGCTGAATAATTTGAAGATTTGGCATTCTCCATCGGGAAAGCTAAGTGCCCCTATTTAGTAAGAGTAAGGCGCCTACCATTTACGCGAATTGGTTATTACCCCGAATAAGTCCTCACAACAAAGGTGTGGTCTTGGCTTCCAGCCGCGTATTCTCAAGCCAATAAATCCTATTTCTGAAGTTTAGCAAGGTAGAGAGGGAACCCACCTCGGACCAAAGCTACTCCGAAGGTCAGGTATCATTCCAAGACCGGATAAGGGAATACCCACGCGAAGACCTGCTCCTCCAGTGGCGGGAGAGCAAGTGTCATTGTCATGTAGCTTCCGCCCTAATCGGAATTGCCACTTAAACCCTTACCGGTTGGACTCCTTAATCTTTCGNATTGCTTGCTTACCAAGCCATCCCTCAATTTCATCATGCTCAATGTAATCGACCCATACTTTAGAAGCGAAGTGAAGTCATAAAAAAACAAAAACAGTCTGGGTTTTAGGTAGTTTAGTTAACCAATTGGACTTGGTTTTGGAAGATATGGCATTACAAGTTGTCAAGCAGGTTAGAATAGGAGTTGTTATGGATTCGGATTAATTAATAGGCTCCTCGCCTTGCCTTTACCTTGGCCCCAAGGGCGAAACGCGCTTGTCAATGTGGAATCTCTACTCCACTTTCATTCCAGAAAAGAAAACAAGTTTCAGGGCACGGGGCAACTACTCGCTTTGGAACTGCTTGCGAGATTTAGCTTAAGTCTTGTTCAGTTTTTCCATCCCGGGTTGCTGTCCTTTATTAGTATTAGACACCCGCCTCTTTTTGTAAAAATTCCCCATGCCTTAATAGCAGATGAAAAGGAGACCAGGCTTCTAGCTGCAGCTGTGTGCTATAGCACAGGAGATGCTGAAGCTGCTTCGAGTCTTTTGGTCTTTGTTTTCACTTAACCAGGTCAGAAGCGACTAAGCCAGTTAGGCAATTGTTTGGGTCTATAAAGGTGTAAGCGCTCTTCTTAAGTACTTAAATCGTGAGAGAGTGAGCGGCCACCTGCTTGTAGCTACGGCGAACAAGAGACGTAACAAAGAGTTGCTTACCTTTATCCATTTGACCAACTTGCTCTAGCTAAAAGATGAGCTTTCTTCGCTTACTGAATTAAGTTGAGCAATCAAAGACTCTCTGCTTATGAGTGAGGTGCTTCTTGATGGGGCAGCTTTCGAGACTGCCTGTGAGGTTACAGCGTTGTTGGCTATGTAGAACGATGCTTTCTAAGTGCCAAGTGTGGGCAAGAACTTGTGAGTGTCAGCACAAGTGCAAGGTTTGTGAACTGAGTTTCTTTCTCGCGTTATCAAATATTGGCACGCTAGAAGAGCCAAGTCAGAGCTTCTATAACTAGTCTTTTTAGGGGCTGCCGTGCTCAACAAGGAAAGCATTGACGAGCTGCAGACTAATGAGGAGAGGTCAAACTTGCAAGTGGCCTTTGGGTGACTCCCAGAACCAAGTGCAACATGCTCAAGCAGCATCAATGATGAGCAACCTCACGCTTCTTGACCGATGAAGAGAAGGAATTTGAGATCAAAGACCAGCAGTTTAAGTATGTGTTCGAGATGCATCAACCGAAACAAGAGTTTCGGGGAGAGAGGCGAAGCGGGTATCCGGGGATCGATAGTGAAAGCAGAAGGCTAGGAAGACCGGAAAGCTTATCTGTTTGAATTAGCATGGGGCAAGCCACCACAGAATCGAAAGGAGAAGGAATAGACCGACATGCAAGGAAACTGGAACTGAAGAAGGGCCAATTCTCAATTACATCGACCCTACAAACTTTTCGAAGCGCAGTTCAGTCATAGAAGCTTCGCTTCGTTCGTTAGGTCAATTACATCGAGCCTGTAATGGCCTTTGCTTTGGCCTATCCCCTTGGGATGAAGCAGCGTGAGCTCTTTTCTCTTGACAGCATTCCTACTTTTATTCCCGAAGAAGCGTTACATCGAGTGTCCAACTTCCCTCTCTTTTCCTTCACTTCGCTTCGAAAAGTTCGTTCCCTCTTCTCCCATTTTCCTCTTATGCTAGCCGATCTTAAGTCTCCGAAATGTCTGATGCGTTCTCACCTGCTGGCCTCTTCCAGGCGATTTGAATTTGAGTTCCTCGCCAGAAGCATAGCGTTTAGGCATTGATTCCCCGTCAGAAGCAAACAGAGTGAGGCTCGATGAAATTGACCTAAATGCAGGGGTCTCTTTCGTGGCCAGAGGAGTATAACATAGAGGAATGGCTACCCCGGAAGCTCTGGTCCCACTAATTTACCTAAGCAGGTCTCCTTAAGTTAAGTAAGTGCATGTCGAAGGCCACCTATCTGTGCGATAGAGTAGATCTTCTTTGCACCCACTAGTCTATCAATAGGGGCACTTTGATTAAAGGTGCCATCTGTTTTCAGATCTCCCAACGCCTTCATGAACCAATTATGGAGAGGTCGGAGAAGCCTCTGATTGACATAGTTTCCTATGGCAAACACCCTCCTCTTGCCCGCGCCAGACTCAACTGAATGCGATAACCTGCCAGGATAGCAAAATAAGTCACCAGTACTGTCAAACTCCATAAGAAGACTTTATGGAATTGTAACAGCTCTGATATATTTCATAGCCAATCATTCCATTCATCACGAGGATATCTGGTAATGGATGACCATAAGGCTGCTGATCCTTTCGATGTAAGCTTCTGCGTCATTCCTAATGCTAATGCAGGGTTAACAGACATCGATAAACTACGCATAGCGAACCACAGTCACTCTGATGTCAAATTGGCAAATATGCCTCCTTCTTCTTGTAGGCGCCTTCGCGGCAGTCGCCTTATTTTCTTGAGAATCGGACTCTAAGGTTTTTTCCTGCTCCCCTCAGCCGCAGCAAGTGCTGAAGCCTCTCCCGCGGTTTCCCTTGTGTTTCAGTGGATTGCCCAATCCTTCCTTTAAGCCTATCAACTATCAATAAGGGCAGGTCAATTATATCGAGCCTTTCATCATCAAAAACGTGAGATCGCCACAGGAAAGAACCGACAAACGAGATAGGTACGTTTCCGACCAATTGAATTTTGAATTAAGATATTAAGCCCTTCTTTGTTTGTCACTTTACTAAGCGGATCTTAGAGTTATCCCACTTCTGGTTCTATTCGTCCTCGTTCCATGCCTTCGCAGAATTTGGATATTTTATCGCGTATTATTATCATAAAGTTTTTCTGCTCTATACGTCAGTCGTCTCCCGTCCGAACCGAAGCTAAGGTAATCGCTCCAGCACCTTACTCTAGCTAAATGAAAAGTCTACGTGCGCTTGAACCTGCATTGTTTATAGGTACTTCCCCTTCCGGAAATGCATCTGCCCTAATGTAAAGGAAAGGCTAATCGATGGAAACTTTTACTCAGTCGAAGCTCTAGCTAGTTAAGGAAAGAGTTCTTCTTCTATTAATGAATAAAGGGAAGAAAGAGCCTGAACGCCTAGCCTAAAGTTAACGTAAAGGATCCATGTAATTGAGCAAACTTCTTATTTAAAGTCGAGATTCAGTTAGTGGTCTCACTACTTCCTATAAGGGAAGGGCCGGTGGCTGTGCATGTTCAGCTTTTTCTATTCAATCTGCTCCCGCACCATGAAATGTGGTTTTTTGCTTCAATATTAGATCTTGCTCCTCTTCGCAATAAGCGTCTGAGACGTGTCCAATACTGCTACTTTGGGCCACTCGTTAGCACTAAAAAGGAGCAGAGATGGAATTAAAGTCTTGATTTTCTTCCCGCTATATTGGCCTTTCTTTGTCGCTTTGGGGTCCCCTCTTAAGTATATGGCATAAAAAGAGGATTTGTGGTATAAAGAATGGCCTACAATCGAGGCTCGATTACATTGACCTGGTCAACTCCCCTCACAGATGATTCAGTAGCAAAGAAAGCTACTGGTACCGAACTCTTGTGGGGTATTGCTTTCCAATTGTGAAGGTCAATGTAATCGAGCCTTTATGATGATAAAAAAGAAAGGGACTCAACATGTACACCAAAACGCTCATTACCGCAGTTACGAAGTATAAAAAATCTGAATCAGTGGACAAGGGCTCTTTCAGCGGAACTTCAGACAAAGCTGGAACCTTCTTCATTCCATCCAGTCTACTCCAAAGCATAACAGCTTTACTTGGCCACATCCTAATTCATTTATTCGGATAGCGTCCTTTTTAAGTCTTATTTAAGTTCATCCAAGCCAAGCATTCTTTCGAAGACTTAACTATAGCAGATAGCCTGAGCCTGGGTATACGCCCCTTTATTAGTAAGGTTGATTGCCTTTCCGCGGGATACTTAATCTCAACTTTGTCGACCCAACGAATGAAGCGAAGCGAAATGAAGTCAAATGAACTTCACTCTCCCTTATGAACCCTTGGAAGAACTAAAAAGAAAGAACTCACTAGAAAGGAAGCTGAGAAACCTTACTAAACTACCAGGCAAGGAAAGGAAGTCAAGCTACCATCCGATTTAAAACCGTGAGTACTCCGTTTCACTCTCATTCCGCCTTCGACTGAGCTTTCGGGTTCTTGCCCACGGATTGCCATTTTTATTATGCCATTTTTATGGTCTTTCATGCCCGGGAAAATGAACAGTTGCACTTTTCTGTCATATTGGATATATTAAAAAAGTATCCTCTTTGTCTACGCTCGTTCCTGCCTTATGTGAAGCTCCCCCTGTTCTCCAGAACAGCCTTGTGAACGAGAGATGATCTAAACGACCTCGCATTGCCGGTCGACACATCCCGCACGCAATGTGACCTGGGATATCCGCGGTCAACACTAATGGTTACGAAGCAGCCGTCTCCCAGGGTCTCGATAGCAAGGTTCTTCAAGAACAAAAGGATGGCTTCGAGAACAGATATCGAATAGATAGAATTCGACATATATATTATAAGTTATTAGTTGGTATAGAATCTTTGTGGATTATACTGGTAGAGAATCATTGTTAGTTTAGTGGGCAAGCCGATTCCATCCGGCTTGCACGGCTTAGGGAAGGAAGTAAGTAGCAAACCCAGCCCCTTTTCTTTCATTTTTTACTTTTTTTTCGACTTTATTATTCTGTGTGTCTTCTGTCCATGGAACCCTTCTTCCTGGATCACTTCCTGCCTCGGCTTCTGAGTCTGCTTTCTCTTCTGAGCAGTCATAGGGCCATAAGCGAAAGGACAAATGGCCGAGTGAACCGAAGCGAACGAAGGGAATTAGTAATAAGCTTAATTGGTAGCCGCCCCTCATGCAGAGGGAAGCGAAGCGAGTCGTTCTAGTCTCTGTCCGGCAGGTAGCTTGAGCTAAAAGGTAAGAAGAACTACGGGTTCAAGACTTCTATGACTGAACTTCGCCAATACTTCTGACTGAACTTCGCTTCGAAAAGTTCGTTGGGTCAGATCAGGAAGAATGTAGCTTCATAGGCGAGTAGTTCACTCTGCGGATTTCATAGAGCTAGATGATGCACTACTTTACCCAACCCAATAAAACTAGAAGAAAGGCGCTAGCCGAAGACTCGATCCGGCTGTATGGAAAATGAGTTGCCTATTATGTGCTATCTTTAGGGTAATGAGTTGACAGCAGGATAGGCTTGCTTGGATGACCCAACCCTTAGTACGACATCCTCCTTTAGTTTAGGATTTAGGGGCTGGTTTCAATCCATCCTTCGAAGAGAGTCCAGTTAACCACTCCTATTATTGGCTTTGATTTACGAGTGAATTAGCCCATCCGATGACTGTTTTCCAGCTGGTATTACTAGTGAAGTACGGTTGAGTACAAGCCAAGCTTCTTCCATAGTAAGCAAGGCACCCACCTATTGGCTAGGGAATTAAAAGACAACTACTTTTTTATGACTTCACTTCGCTTCGCTTCTAAAGTTTGGGTCATAAACCAATCAATGTACGAGACAGAGATCGAACGAAGGGGAGCACAGCTGCCATAGAAAGAAGCCTTTGTCGATCTATTTCCTTTTGCTAAAGTTCTAAAGTTTGAAGAAGGTCCTTTGAAAGCCAGCAGAGTCAAGCTAGGACACATGAGTAGTATGCCTCCCGCTAGACCTAATCTATTCTTCCTTTAGAGCCAACTACCACTCTTCACTCCTTTTTGCCAGTGTGGAGCAAACCAAGCAAACAAGAAAATATTCAACTAAGCAGATATGATGATTGATCAAAAACCTGGCACCGATCCCCGGGAGGATAGTATAGGTGGCTTGCCGGTGATCCAGTAGAGGCTGCTTTAGGAGATCCGGTTAGCCGATAGGCGAACAGGCGGAGATACCGCTTCACCGATCGGCTAACAAGCAAAGAAAGGCAGAAAGAAAAGGCGAACAGGAAGGATGGCCGAGGAGTTGTTAGTGTAAAAGATTACCATAGTTGTCACATCCTAGCCAGAGAAGAGCTCAATGTAATCGACCCAACTTAGAAGCGAAGCAAAGTTCAGTCATAGAAGTATGAGATGTGGCTTGACCTATTAGTGCAGGTTACCCGATCTAATGAGAAAAGGTTCGAAAGGCGCCGTGCGCTCTACCAGAATTGACTACGTTAGACGGATGCCCGGTACTGGAAAGATGGTAAGATGCCCGGTAAAGGGGATTTCGAGACAAAAGAAAGGAAGATACTTGTGGGAATTCAAGCCGATAGCGTACCATTTACAAGACCGCACCAAAGCGATAGCATTGAGGGTCGATGTAATTGAGGGAAGAAAGAAATATTAAGACAAGTGCGCCGGGAGGAATAGAAAATAAAGAAGAGAATAAGCATCTTAAAGCTCTGATCGATCAGGTCCGGCGGATAAGTAGGCCCATCCTTAAGCATGCAATAATCGATTATGCAGCTAATCACACCGGGCAGGAATGGATTCTAAGTTTAAACTAGCTCAGGTCGTAGTCAGTTCAGCTTCTAGTACGAAATGCTCAAGCGCGCGGGGCGCTGCACTAAGGTAAGCTTGCCGATCGACCACCGAAGGAGAAGGTGATTTCAAAATCAAAGAGGTGCAATCTGACCGTCTTGCTTTTAGATAAATCAAAGAATCCTTAAAAGAAAATAAGGTTAAGGTATAGTATAAATTCACTTTAGTTGAAGGAAAATGGAGGAAGATGAAAAAAAGTCCAAACGAGTGACTAAGCGAAGGCTAGCGACACAATATAGAGGTCCGTCACCCGTGGAATGACTGGTGGAGTTATCACGTCATGGAAACCTGAATTTCTGTACGAAATGGTTGGAATGACCCAAATCGATAGGATCTAGTTGTTCAGATGATTGTCTGTGTTCGGGAAATATGGTCCAAGCCCGGTGGATGGAGAAAGGGTTCCCATTGATTAGAAAGAGCAGAGGAATGTGGAGCGAAGAGGTTCGTTTTGGCGGATGAGACTGATCCCACTACAGATAATGAATCTGGATCGTATGGATCTCAGTTCAATTGTTCTCCGCTACTCTTTTGGTTATGCATATTGGGTGGGGGTAGTTAAGCTACTTGGTAATTGAGAATAACCTCTTCTCTGTCCGCGGGGAATCTCAATGAGCGAAAGCCTTGATTGAATTAATGCCAACCCCAGGAACTCGTGTTAGTAAGACAGGATGAGCGTATGTGATGATAGCATTCAAGGATACTCATTGGCTCCAGGAATTGTTCCCAAAAACCGTACCTCGGAGTGGGAAGAGAGCTGTAGAAAGGGGATGCAGCAGAAAATATTTAGCCAGGAAGAGCTTTATTGGTTTTAAAAGGCAAGGGTAAAGTGGATCATGATCGGAACTCGAAATTCTTTCACACCTCCCCACCCGGAGGAAAAAAAATAAGATAGAAAGCTTGCAAAAGGAGAACGGAGAGTGGGTGTCTGATAATAAAGGGCTCAAGCAGATGGCATTGGATTTCTTTCAAAACTTGTATGCAGAGGAGGTAACATCAGATAGAGGGTATGTGCTACCGTCTTACTTTCCTGAGCTCTACATTGAGTCCTTGCTGAGACGGGTATCTATTGGTGAAATTAGAGATGCCATTATGTCCATGGGTCCAACCAAAGCTCCAGGGGACGATGGGTATCGTGCAGTCTTTTACCAAAGAAAGACTATGGGAAGTAGTGGGGCGTTCTTTGTGCAACATGGTTAAGCAAACTTTCAAGGAAAGTGTACTCCCAAGATCTTTCTTTTCCTGCAATTGACAACATTTCATTCCATGTTTGGCCTTTCCTTCTCGGAAATAAATCAAACTCAATAGCTAGGCCAAGGATATTCCCTTTGGCTCCGAAGCGAAGACTGTACCCCATTGACTAAGAAGGGGCGTGTGTCTCGTTAAAGACAGTCAACCGGAAAGGAACGAGAAGTCACTCGACCAAAGGGCCTTAGGAAGAAGCTTCACCGCTCTCCGCATGGGCCAAAGGCTCGACTTCAATCCATTTGCTGAAATAGTCGATTGCGACCAACAGGAACTTCTAAGGTCTTAGTTCTTCTCCAGACAACCTCAACAAGGTTCGATGTAATTGAGGAAGCGAAGTGAAGTCAAAGAGCTCAAAAGGAGAGATGCCCAAATACCGTCAATCTGCAGCCTCGAAATTCTATTTCTATTTCGCCGTCAACTGTCCGATCATTCAACTAGCGGTCTTCGCCCTTGAGATGACTTCGTTATCCAAAAGATCTTGTTATATCGAATCGGCTCTCATTCCTAGCTCCTTCATAGGCCTAGTGGCTGTCTTCCTACCGAAGGGAGTCCGCCTAGGTGAATATCAAAGTGATGTTGATCGCCTCCAAGGAGAGCAAAGTGAGACTTTTAGTTTTATGACTGAACTTCTAAACCGTTAGTGAAGTGTCGGGAGATGCGTACAGTTTCGGCACTCGAAAGAAAAGCCAAAGAAGGTGCTCAATCTAGTAATAGTACGGGCAGGTAAGGGTAGGTAGTAAAGGCAAGCGCATAGGCCAGAGAATGGACATTCAAATCACTATCTTCAAATAGCTTATAGCTTATATAAGAGAAAGAGGAGTTCAACAAATCAATATATGGGTGCCTGGTGAATCCACACGATTCAGCCTCAGAATGCCCTTCGTGCCTAAAAGGTTAGTTCAAGGGCTTTGATAGGGAAATGCACACACTTGTTGTCGTTTCAGATGCGATCAAAAAGCTTTTTTTTTTTCAAGCGTAGAGACTACATATGAGGAAAATGCGAATAGAGATGCGGATAGATATATTAGTGTGTACTCGGATGGCAGTGCTGACCTTGAGACCGTACCCGGATCTTGGGAATCCTTGTTGTCTCCCCAGACACAGAAGGCTCATGAAGTTTTATATCACGGGGTAACAAACCAATTGTCGAAAGAAAACTTTATATCGACCGATCTGTTTAATTTAAAGAGCAGAACGAGCGGGAAATGTACGACTTTTTTTTCCCAGGAGATGGGAGAGTACGAACAAGGGGTTATCCACTCCGAATACTAGCCAAACCTCGAAACTTGATGTCATCGCTTGAATCCCAAATCAACCTTGACACAGGGCTTCTGTTTTAGACTCAGTGTGGAAGGGTAAACAAACCTCCTTTACATCGAAATCATTGGTCGTGCTGTGTTTACTCATTGAACACCAACGCAATCGAAAACCCCATGTTCTCACTCACAGGAGCCCCGAGGTATATCGCAGCGCGGGAGGCTGTGCCTAGGGCACATTACGAATGAAGAATGAAGGATCTGAAATCCCTTCTAAGGTATATGCTTACTCTGAGGGGTAGGTGGGCTTCCACGAAAGAGCATATGCCACTACCAACCAACCGGTTTAGAAGGTAGTCTACTCGGTTGAAAGTATGAAATGGGAGAATTTCCCAGCTCTTCAATGGTTACGGAGGAGGACTTTCCGAACTCAATCAACTCAATGCAAAAAAACGTGCAATAAGCGTCTGGGTTAGCGTTCGCGGGGATAACTAGTCCTAAGCCAGTTGAGGGAATTTTCTATGCCAATCTCATCTCAAGATTTGGTTCTAATAAACTAGAGAATCAAGGGGAGCAAAGTGAGACTCAAAGAACGAAGCGAAGTTCAGTCAGATACGCAGAGGAGCAAGCTTAAACCTAAAGAATTCCAAGCCCGAAAGCCACCTCCGATCGAGCTTTCTTATGCTTATGACTGGCATTCTCGGGGACACCTACAAAAACGAGTCTATTTGGGGAGATCCAGCCAGAAAGACTTATTGGATTGGTTATTCGCCCACGTATTTCAAGAAGAGCCTTATATATTACTATATTACGTGGGAGCTACCTGAAGGCACCCTGCGCAACTACTGGGATTTCTGACCTTGAATTCTTTCTGGGCATCACCCGCCTTCGGGAATATCCGTATACTTTTTTAAAAGAATGACGAATTGTAGCATGATTCGCCTACCTGGACTGATACGAATAAGGGTAGCTGACCCGTAGAAAGAAGGAAAGCCCAAAGGCTTGATGTAATTAACCTCTGTACAGGGTAGGGCTTTTCTTCTTATTAGAATATAATAGAAGCCCATATTTGATCTGGAACTTGAGAAACCCTCCCGGGCCGGGTTGACTACGAAAGGAGTGGGGAAAGAGCTCTAAATTTTGCATTCCTGGTTCGTAAGAAAAGAAAGCTTTGCTTTGGAGTTGGTCTTATTCTTACAGTCTGGTCGAGAAATATGGTAAAAAGTAGGATTGCGTTGATCGCTAGATTCGATCTGGATCTGGGAATAGGTCTTCCAGTTGCGTGGAAAAATATCTTCTAATAAGAGGAGTCGGGTTTAGAAATATGGTAAAGTAAAGCAGGATTGCTGAGTACAAGGCTGGGGCAAGCGGGTAGAGAGTCTGGGGTTTACGAGTTGGGTCGGTAAAGAACGGGTTACCAGGACAGATCGGTCAAAAGGTATTTCCCTCGGTTCGTTGACAAGCGGGAAAGGCATCGGTTCTTAGCCAGTTTTCGGCTCGTACCTCGGGTATCGATTGATTTTGGGAAAGGATCTACCTAGCCAATATAGCAGGTATTGTCCAAAGTTATGCGAAAAGGCGAAAGTAGAGCTCAAAGTGGTTTCGGATGGTTTGGTCGATCAGATCAAAAACTAAGTAGTGGGGAAGAAGATCGGAGAGGAAAAGTAGCTAGTTCTGGACGAAAGGACTGGTTTCTCTTTCCTGGTATGAATGGGAAAAGAGGGCTTTTCCCATGGAATACAATCTTTATTTCAACCCGTGGCACATATGAAAATGATTGATTGATGAAGGATTTGCCCTTTGGTTTCTGGCAAAGTATCAAAGGTTTTGGCCGAAAGGTATATTGCGCGGACAAGTCCGGAGTTTGAACCGGCCGAGAGGTCGTCAGTTTTGCCCGGTGTTGAGAAAACCTTAACAGCCAGCTATCAGCAATGCTCTTAAAGACCCACCCTGAACAGCCGGGCTTAGCTCGCCCCTTTTCCTGCTGCTAGGACGGGCATGGTAATACTCAACAGCAAAGTAAATGTTGCCAACTTCCAAACAACCTGGAACTAAAGTCCGATGTAACACCTTCCCTTGCCCAGCTAAATGAGGGTTTGACTTCCACAAAGCCAGCTATCAGCGATGCTCCATCCATCAAGGCAAGGTAGCTACAGAGGCGAGGTTTTTGAATAAATCGTTGTTTCGAAGCTTGAAGGACCTTGAATGCCTGTTTCTGAGGCCCTGCGCTATTGGAGTGCTTTTCTGTGCTAATGGAGTAAAAGGACTGGAAGCTTCGCTACTGGTTCCTTCCCTTTGTTTTGTAATCTGGAATGCTTAGCAGCCAGGTTCTAGTTTAGGAGTTACTATCGGTTTCGGATCTATAATATAAGTCAGAACCAGACCCTTGCATCTGTAGCAGCAGAGGAATATCCCTTTGTTTAATACCTAGCTGTTTAGGAATTCCCATGATTTTAGGGATCTAAAGCAACTGGTCTACTTCTACTTGTAGCATCTGAGCATCTGGCGTTCGTCTCTTCCGATCTTTGCCCTATTTTTATCGAAAGTGAGAGTTTAGGCGTAGTAGGGAAGGAAAAAGTCAGATCAAAGTTATGATGAATCGTACGCGGGGGGGTAAAGAAGTAGAGTTTGAGCTATAGGAGTTACGGGCCTGATAGCCCGAAAAGAGCATTCCTTTGGGCTTGGCTTATACCAGAACTAAAATACGCAGCTGGTCCTAAACTCTCGTTTAACGATGCAAATGAGCCCTTGCTCCCGTAGATACCTATGCGTAAAGGACATGGAAAGAGGACCCCACCGGCCAATCTATTCTGATGAAGATCACAGGTCCCGAGAGGTGAGAGGCAGTAGTTGAGTTCCTTGCTCCGGAGGGCGGTAGTTCAAGGAGCCCTTGCCCCCATATTACCATGACTATCATACCCAATAGTGAAGACCAGAGGCAAGTCTATTTCCAAGCGGATGACCAGATGATCAGTAGTTCCAAGGGCTGTTGAGCCAGGAGCTCTAAAGAGAGTCCTTACCGGAAAGTAAAGACCGAAGGCCAACCTATCAGTGAAAGCGATGTTCCGAGTTCGTAGTTGGAGCAGCTCCATCAAAAAATCCTGACAAAGACGTGGGAAAGAAGAAGAAGTTAACCTTAGACTGTAGACGCTAGCGGTTAAAGTTCGAACATCTACCTCGAAAAGAGGCTCTAAGTTCCGAAACTACTGAATGTTGAAGCGTCCCTCAATTAGATCGATTCGAAAGCCGTCTATGATCACTTAATAAATTCTTGAAATCGCGGTTTTCAACTCATGGGTAAGCTTCTCATGCAAGAATTTAAAGATTTCATCTTTATACAGGACAGGATACGCTCGTTCTCTATCTCGCTGGCGACGCAGAGAATGCAGGCAATAGACAGCAGAGAGGAAGGAACGACTTCCTTGTCGAACACCTCCGTCTCCTCCGTCCGCTTAGTCTACGATCTGCAACTCACTCAATCACCAATTGTCCTGACAGCTCTATCAGTCGAGCCGGAATTCAGCTCACTCGATCTCCTCTCAACTACCTCAACCGATACGTCAGCCGGCCGATTCACCGGTAGAATCGGAGAAACGGAGTAACTTCTGATTCGGGTTAGACATCCTCGTTGGAAGCTGGATTGATTGGCCTTTTTCCGGGATTTTTGATAGAAGGGAGGTAGTCGCTAGCAGCCGCCTCCTCAAGCAAAGAAGAAGGAGGAAAGGATCGAAGAATAAGGATCAAGCTTTCCTGAGCGTAAACTAAGACTTTCGCTATGGCTTTCTCTTCGCTTTCGGGTCCTTGTGTAGGGTAGATCCGTAAAGAGTCTTTCCGTGCGAGAGCTTTAAGTGATAGGGGCCGATCTGTGCTTTCATAACCTCCTCATCGTCTCCTTCCTTTTCTTTTTATAAGGTGTATGGATTCGCTGGATGTCTTATATCCTATAGTAAGAGTGTGTGACGCTTTAATTCCCTATGGATTTGAGGGCAAGAGAGCTAATCGAATGGCAGACAACGAGACTGCCTACGAGGGGAGAGAGAGGATTGATCCTTAGCTTAGAGTATTCGAAAAACCCACAACCCGGTATGTAATGTAGAAAGACTTCAATGGAAGAACATGAAATAAGGCATTTCCCTCTACCTCACATCAATGCCCTTGGCCTTGACCAAGCGTAAGAGTGAAATCCTAAGACCGACTCTGAAGGTAGACCAACGGAAGCTGAAGAAGAGTTACCCGAGACGAAGGACTAAGCTTTAAAGTAAGCAACTTAACTCGGGCAGCTATCGGTTCAGTTGCTAATTCTGGCCTTTGCTATAAAGTTGAGATTCTTTCCGAGCCCTATAGTTCGATAAAGGGGATTCCAGTGTCTGCCTCATAGAATGAACTCCGGCAACTATGGCTTTATCAGGCATTAGATCTCGCAGCGCGGAATTGGTTGAGGTTTACGGAGAGAAACTCAATATTATCTTCGTTCACTCCTTTGCTAGGGATTTAATTCATTCCTATTCCTAAGCAGCACACTGAGAGAAGGTATAAGTGAAAATTGGAATCTCTAAGTCATAAGAAGTCGAAGAACCCTTTCTTTGAGATCAAAGTGCTTTGGCCTCACCTTCGATCGACGCTATTGTTCTTGGTCAAGTATTTCTTTAAGGATGCCTTGGCTTTAGTAGAAGAGTCCCACCCCTAAGGCTAATGGGAAAGCTCCTCATGGGGACTACCATTGGATGAAAGCGTTCTAGAAGAGAAGAGCGTACGACGAAGCAAGAAACTTCCATCTCTTTCTACAGGAAAAGGCTTTCAATACTAAGGTCGAAAGCACTAACTCTTTTGAGTAATTTCTTCAAAGAATCATCCATAGACTTCAACAAACACAAGGCCTATCCCCTTCTCAAGAATAAAAGTCCAGTGCAATAGAGCTACAGAAATAGAATAATACAAAATCAAAGACAAGGAATGCTTCCTGAAGACAGGCTACAGAATCAAGAAACAGACACAAAATGCAAAAGAAGCTGAAGCAAGAAACAATACAAGTTCACCTTACCTTCCCGTACAATCACTGGCATAGGGATTCGGTACCTGTCTCTTTCCCGTATACAGCATCAATATGACTCTTCGGTCCTGGTATTGCAGTATGCCTACGGTCGAAGGAAGAAGCGATGAAGGCGACGCTGCTATTGAAGCTACTGTTCCAACTTTATCAATTACATCGACCCTCACCTACAGGGCAGAATGAATAGAATCACATTTGTGCTAATCCGCTTCAGTACGCAGCTAAGAAGGAGCTCTTCCACCTTACCTTTGAATGCCAGCTTAAGATTCTCTTTGCTCCAACTGGTACGATGCCAAATATATAATGAGACTGATTCTCATTACTCACTTTTCACAGCTATATAAAACGACACTTTTGCAATTGAACATCTGGTCTCTGGGCAGAAATCGTATTTATAGATTTTACAGCTATATGAGATGAAAAAAGTCGAATTGAAATGATCCTCTCCGAGTGAAAAGTGACTTGCTTCATTTTGCAGCTATATGAGATGCAACTTTCGCAATTGAAATGAAACGAACGAAGCGCAGCGCAGTGAAGTCATAAAAAACGAAGGGAATTATGAAAGTCATCTTTTACAGCTATATGAAATGAAAACAGTGGAATTGATCAGACCTTTCCTTCACTTCGCTTCGTTCGTACCTCTCCTTTTAGTCGAGCATCTTTAAACCTCTCTTCGTCGCTACTAAAACGACTCGATGTGTTCACGGGTTCTAAATCTCCAGTCGAACGCTCGCCCTAATCATCTCAATTGCATCGATCCTCGAATCAGTTCTTATAATTAAGATGTTTGGTTTCAAATCATCTCGTCATATCACAACCACGATTCTATTCTATAAGGCTTTCTAGTCTCCAACGGGATGAAACAACAGAATTGGCTCTCTCGCTTGTCAAGAACAAGAGATTGGCAGTCAAATTAAAGTAGATTAAAAAGGAGCTAGAGCAGCTCTCTTCACATTAGCATTGTCTATCTCACTATCTATTAGCGCCGGCAATGCCTACTTCCTTGACTCACTGGGGCTTCTTACTAGCAGCTTTTTCCTTGAACTGCAACAATAGGTCAATTACACCTTCACTTCGCTTCGATATAATTGAGTCTCACAAGCCCGGAGAAGGAGCCCCCTTCCGAAGGAACTCTTTGACTTCACTGCGCTTCGAAAAGTTTGTATGGTCGAGCATATGTTATAACCTTCACTTCGCTTCGTTTGTTGGGGCGATAAAGGTCAAGATTTTAGGCAGTGACCGAATGACCTAGGAAGAAGCCCGTTTACTAAGAAGTAGAAGTTCACATGCCCTGCAACGGATCTCAAACAAAGCGTGGCTGACAACGGGGCTATCTTTCCAAGAAAGAAAGTATGGCTTACACTTCCTTAGGAAGTAAGAACTGGTGGAAGTGGGCTGGGTAATTTACCACAAAGGCTCAGGCCTAATTGGACTTATTAATAGTTTTCAGTCACAAAGCAAGGCTATTCTTTTCAAGCAAGAAGGACTTCGAACAACAGATTCCCTTGGGCTTGGTACAGGGTACTCAATTACTATTCCTTTTCTGAACTTCGCTTCGTTGCGTAGGCGAAGTGAGCCAAGCTGGGCGAGGAGTTTTCTTTAGACAGAAAGGTTACATCGGATGACTCGACTATAAACAAAGACCAGCTAACGATGCTAGTTTTGACAGTAGAGTTAACCAAACTTCCCTCCGTCAGAATACCTGCTCTCCACACGGGCTAGAGCGTAGCGATTCGTACTCCTTTTGGTGTCGAGCCAATGAGGCTCGATATAATTGAGATATAATTGACCTGCCTTTCTTAGACTCCAAAACATGTAGATAAGGATTGAAATTACCCAGCTCTCTACCCTTGCGTGCTATGTGTATAAGGGTGTATCAAATACATTCAAATGAGATCAAGCAGGACTCTTCTTTCACATCTGAATCTTCAAAGGATAGGTCTCTGTCGGTTCGAAGGAAATCGGTATAGACTGACCATCTTCAATACCGATAGATTCTTTTCTCCTGGGTTCAGAAGATAGCACAAGCATGAATAGCGGACAGGGATCTAAAAGAGTTCACTAAACTCTAAAATAATCTGTATCTTATTATTATTTCATTGCCTTCCTTCTGGGAAGGGAAAAGACTGAAGGCTCGATATAATTGACCTCACACTCGCGGCACTATGAAAGGCATCTACCTTTTAGGGGGAGAAAAGGAGCTGCTAATCTAATAGGATAAGTATGAAATAGAGCTAGATGAAGAGTTGACTTCCCCACTGCTCCCCCAAACACAAGAAGGAATTGAAAAGCGGGTTCTTTCCCGAGAACCAATGATTCAACTTCTAAACTATAGAGTAGAAGAAGGCTGTTTCATAACTGTTATTTATAGACGGATTGATTGGCCTGAAAGCTAAGAGAATCCCCTGGTGAAGGGGAATGGAGGATCGAAGTAAAGGAAGTAGTGGTAGGGCTTGCAAACCGGACGGTACACTACTCGGGAAGATATGGGGAAAGAAAGCCTACAAGCATGTATTTCTAGTTTAGGAAGAGAGAAACTCTAATTCCACTAGAGAAACTGGAATTTCACTCTTTAATATGAATTCAACTTTCATTTCTATTCCTTCAAATCCTGCATGACATGTGTCAAGAAGCTTAGTACCATACCCGAACCTACCTCCCAACGAGGTCAACTTTGTCGATCCTTTATGACTGAACAAGCAACGGATTGAGCAACTAGCGCGAAAGCCGTTGCGCTAACGCGCATCCGTTTTCTTGCTGCTTCGAAAAGTTCGTTGGGTTTCAAAGACCCTACGATCACAGAGTATACTTTCGATCGATAAGGTGGCAGGCCGATCCGACCCAGTGAGTGACCTCCAAACCTTCCTTGCTCGATGGAAGAGGCGTCAGAGTATAGTGGACAAGTAGCATTGTCAGTGTCAGGAGGATCAATAGTTGGTTCTTGTTGTTCGTTCCTTTCTTAGGAATGTTTTTCAACTCAGCTTGTTCACCTGGCGGTTCAAAAGCCTATGTAAGGCTATCGGCCTTTTACGCCTGGTTCGCCTATCTATCTCTAAAGCGGAGAGCTGAGAAGTGAAGTTCAGGCGGATAGAACAAAGAAATCTATGATCTTTCTAGTTTCGAAATCTCGAAGGGCTGCAGTAGCTACAGTACCTGCTGGGTTTTTATATTATAGGCTCAGCGCAGTGACTAACCTACGCTATGAAGCGGTATTAAAAGTTAGAAATTCCTGGTGAGCCGAAATGAAAATAACATAGAAGATGGTAAAGCCGATGAGGCATAAGCCAAAATAACCATACTGAACTGATTCGCCTTACTATCATAAATATAATCAATCTCAGCTCTTTCAGATCCCTCTGTTCTTACAGAATCCCCAGCTATTGACTCAGCTACGACAAGATCCAAGGGCATTACATTAAAAGAAGAGTACGAGTTAACAGGTCAATTACATCAAACCTCTCCGAATTTCTATGACTTCACTTCGCTTCGCTTCGTTCTTTGAGTCTCACTTTGCTCCCCTTGACCAACTAAACCTCAGAGAGTAGCTCTTCCTTATTAGGAACCGTCTCTATGATCCAGGTAGGCCTTATATCAGTCTACGATCAGTGAGTGAACAATGAGGCTATGCTTTCTACAAGGCACTGTAAGCTCATGGTCAATCCCTTCATCGGAAGGAAAGAGGAGCCACTCTTTGGTCCCTGGCAAGATAAGATCAGCATCCATAGAATCTATCTATCTATAGGCAGTCTGCCGATTCCTGCTTTGAGCTTCAATCGTACGCCCAACCCTTCGCTCTTTGCACCTTGATGAGTAAGGGTAGCCTTTGAAGTCATGAAGAAGCGGTTTCGAGAAGATGTATCAGTTCGCCTCTTTGTCTCTTGCCAGCCCATGGATTCAGCAGCAGTTCGAAAGCTTGCCCTATTAAGGAATCCCCGGATCTATGCTTATTTGCAACTCCCTGAAGCGTTTCGTCGATTACTACGCACCTTCCTCGTCTCTGGGTGCCTAGGGTAAGCCTTTCTCAATTACCTCTCTCCTCTCCTTTCAGTCGAGATTCTTCTCAATTACATCGACCCAAACTTTGACTGAACTTCGCTTCTAAAGATTACATTGACCTCTCCGTCACCTTATCCTAATTCTAGTTAGTGACTTCGTTACCTTTACAGAAGACCGAGAGTAAGGGACAACCTTAAGCCATGCTCCTACTAAACCACCAAGAGCGACTGCGGAGTAAGCTCCCTTCTCCTATCACGAAAGTTTGACAGTCTGAATTCGTCTCTGATGTGACAAAACCTGGATTTTCCACCGCTCCGTGCCGTGGGCTTAGGGGCTTCCATTGGGCTGTCATCTTCATTTCATCTAGCTAGGGCGCTAAGGTAGTTCATTCGGGTAGTGGTAACCCCGAAAAGGAGTGAAAGCCACTCGACCCCAACGAACGAAGCGAAGCGCAGTGAAGTCAGAAGTATTGGCGAAGTTCAGTCATAAGTAGTTCAAGAGCTTTAGGCCGGATACTAGCTTTGCTCTAGTTGCTTTTCTATGTTGAGTGAATCGCTATGGAAATTCAATAGAAGAAGTCAAAAATGCCTAACAACCAATGAGGGGCTAAGGAATGGCGACCTTTGTGAGCTACCTCCGGACCCTGGGAAGAGTCCCGGACCATGGAAGGGTGCCCCCACTACGCGGTAGATGTAATTGAGCTGTTCTTTCGTGATGTTCTCATGCAGGTACAGCACAAGGGTGGTCGCAGATCAGGAGATCTCGGAACCTGAGTCTGAAGGCTTTGAATCGAGTGGGAAGAAGAAGAATCTCTAAGTCTTTCTCTTCAGCTTTCAAGCTTCAGGAATGAAATACTGAGGCGCATCACTGACGTAACTGATCCTTTATTAGGTGAAGGGACAGAGCGTATCCCGGTCTCCCTTGGCAATAGTTTACTTTACTTATGTTCAGCCTTGATGAGTGGGAAATCGGTAGCCTTTTCTTCAACTCTGAAGAAATGAGAAATGAAACCATTACAGGTGACAACCTATTGGACGGGGTTTGGGTTCCAAACCTCTTCAAATGGTGCTTCGGCGGCTGGACGATAGCTTGCCGGCTAGCTCCCTTGATCTATTTATCCATGTATGTGTACGGAAGCGCCTCCCACAGCACCAGTAGCGGGCAGATCGCGTACCATGACTTANCTGAGAGTGAATAAGAATGCATCTTTTGGTCCCTCAACATCACGCACGATGCCAGCTTTGTTCGTGCTCTTTTTCTATATCCAATTGGCCTATGTGGATAATTCTATGGAATGATAAGAATTCGGCTGAAGGTCAATTACATTACATCGAACGAAGTGAAGTCATAGACAAATGAAGCCGCGGGAAGCGCTTTCTCTCCTATCTGCATCAATCCGTAGTCGAGCCCTCGATCATGTCGCTTATCCTTTTTCCAACCCAACGAACTTTTCGAAGCGAAGTGAAGAAAAGGATAGGACTAGGTTGGAATGAAAGAGTTACGTACTAGCTTTAGCGAAGCTTAAGGCTTGAAAAGAGCCTTGCTTACTCGCAATGAAAGGTTTTGCCTGCCTTGCTTGCTTACTAGAAATATCATAAGATAAGAATAAGAGATTACCGGGAGTTGAAGAGTAAGAATAGGAAAGGAAGAAGGACTGTGATCGCCATCCGCGAACCTCATACCACGATAGCCCTTGCAGAACCAGACCCCAATTAGAGCGGATTCCACGCCAGATCGAGGAGATGGATCGAGTGTTGTTATTGCCCATATCAAGGATACCATTCTTGCAATACTTGTTAATCAAGACCTCCACCCATAAGCATTGTGGTTGGGTCAATAAGCACCAGCCCAATTTCATAAGAAAAGCAGAATTGTTCAGTGAGGCCAAGGCCGCCCCTAAACTGCTTTTCCTTAGCCTTTGGGATGTTAACCTTTTCTAGATACGTTTTCGATGGTGAAGGTGATTTCACAATACTCAAGAACCTCGATATACATTCTGAGACGTATGTCTTACAGACCCAACTTTAGAAGCGAAGCGAAGTTCAGTCATAGAAGCGTAGACAGAGGGACGAAGTGACTCGCTTAACCACTTTAATAAGTAGGGAGAGGGGGAAAAGACAGAACCCACGGGGACAATCCGCTTCGATTGGGCCTTGCAGGCAGACAGGCTAACTTGTGGAGACGAAATGGAATCCTATATAAGTGAAAATGTCGAGTCCCGAGGGAGACAAGCTGAGCTAACAAGCTGGCTGAATATATCATGGGGATGCCCGATTTGCGATTGAGCTAGCCGATAAGTATGATCTCTCCGGTCTGGCATGAGCCACCAGATCCCCTTACGATAACACACTTGGCCATGAAGACTGAAGCTCCCGGGTCTGGATGACTCTAATTGAATTCTTTGGTATAAAGCCTTTGCCTTTACGGGCGGCTAAAAGTTGTTAACCATCATTACTGTGCTGCTAAGGGTAAATCACCTGAATCAGGGCTAGAGGTCTCAGATTGATCATGCTCCTGTGGATAATGGCCTGTAAGCGATCTGCTTAGCTTCGATCTCTTCTACAACTATCCTATAGCTTCAAAGCCTTTCATTAGACTAGGTTACTATTACATCTCTTTTCTTTCCAAGAAGTAGATCTCACTGCTTAGCAAGTGTCTCCACTCATATTATGCTGGTGCCTTGAGAATGCTGACTTGAGTATGCTAGGATTGGAAGCTAATTCAACTAGAACCTCTTTTCTTTCTTTTCCTTAAGGATTCAATTTATTAATGCAATTCAGTATTTAGATCCTAATACTAGAGTAATGGAGTGACTAAGCCCATCTCCAGTCTTGACACAAATGGGCTTTCTGAAAGCACAGTGGGGAAGGGAAGTCCCGGGGAGGAAAGGTGTAATTGAGAAATTGGCATTCATATTTCCATCTCTTAACAAAGCTTTCTACATCTACGGCTGATCTCGTAGAGAAAGCACTCAACCTTATTGTCACTTCCACCAATTCAGAAGTGTGGCATTGTCCTGTGTCTTATCTCTATACTATAAAGGTTATACTTCACATTCTTGCAACACTGGCAGAACTCATGACATCGGACTTTTCAGCAGTCTGGGTGGTTGTCTCTACGACATTGACTTCTGAAAATAACTTCCATTCATGCACAATCGTCTTTCCAGGCATCGATCCGGTTGTGGAGAAACTCAGTAACCCATCATCTCGCAAACTCTGCACTTTATGCTTGAAAGCGGTGCAATTTTCAGTGGCGTGCCCCTGTGATCCAGCATGGTAATCACAATATTCACCAGCTTTATACCATTTTAGGTATGGAGGTTGCAAAGGTTGGTCGTAGATCAGGACTTGTTTTATCGCTCTTAAAACTATTCAAAGTTGAGGTCTCCTCAATGTTGAGTTTTGGAATGGGGTCAAATGTAGGTTTGCTTCGAATCGCCTTCTTTGGGATGCTCATCTGAGTGGAGACTGGCGTAGACACAAATGTCGATGATTGGAGACTGACTTGGCCTGTAGGGATAACATGTTTAAGCAAAGGATTTTCATCACGATCCTTTTCAACGCTCATAGTATTAATTCTCTATATAAGCGCAATGAATAAATGTTCATAGGATTCTTGAGTTACGAGTCTTCCATCATTTCATAGTTAGTCGAAGAGGGTCGATTACATTGAGTTAGGGATAGGACTAACTCCGTGCATCCTGGTAGCTTATCATTCGCTTCCAAAGGCGCTACAAGGCCACTTTCCAGAGCGGAGAACATTAAGAAGAACTAATAAAGAACTCCAGTTTCATGAAAATCAATCATTTTTTTGGTAGGGACTAAAGGAAATAGTACAAACGAGTTCTGGGGTACGATACCCCGATACAATCACCAAATAAAGAAGTAAGAAAGGTGCCGAGGAAAGGGCTTGATAGTCCCGTCTGCTAGGCTTTTCCGAACTTCTCCTATCATAGAAAACGATGCAAAATGGGAATTCGCCCCCCAATATCAATAAGAGTTGCAGTCGTATAGGTATAGGTTAGCGCTTCCTTGAATTGTAGAGGAATCGGGGATTCCCGGTTCAAAAGGCATGCTATGGAGCTTTGTAGGCCGGATCTTCTGTTAGAACTCCAGTACGAAAGGAAGGCTATGTCATTGACAACCCCGGGCCCGGCTGATTGAAGCCCCTTGCCCAAGTCATTGCCAGGAACTGGAAGCCGAAGAAGACAGATCAGAGGCCTAAGGTTAAAGCATTAGAGCTTTGCAAAAAGGAGCGAAAGCCACTCTTAGTTGCCAGGAGAGGAGCATCCTCGTGAAATCTAAGACAGCAGCGCCTAAGACTAGGGCAGCCCCTATTGGTTGGATATAGAGTAGAGCGCGTAAACGGGACAAGGTGACAAAGACCCGCCTTAGTCCAAGCCCGATTGAGCTGCCAGAACCTTCATTCGTTGCTATGTGCCCAGGGCTTGGGGAAAGAGGAGTCCAGAGAAAAAGAAAAAGAAGATGACCCAAGCTTGACTTAGCTCAAGTAGTGCCCCAAAACTCCCATGTTTTCTGTTGGTCAACAACCAAACCAACCGCAGCGCTAGCCACTTCTTCACTGAAAACTACAACTAGGAAGCTGGGGATCAATTTCTTGTCTGACCTTGATTACACCGGCGCACCCCTTCGCCATAACATCAAGTCGTAAGGGTCGTTCTTTTTCACATCTCTTTCTATTCTTCTAATGGTTTGCTCTCAGTCACCTCGTACTACCTTCCATTTCGCATCACTATAAGAGTTTCGCCTTATTCTAATATTCTATTTATTAATCATCTCGTCATCATGGAATCAGTTCTTTCGAGAATCATCTTCTCTTTTTCCTAGCTCCCATCACCATGCCCAGTTTGTGCACAGTTAGGATTCAAAGAGTGTGCAATGCGTGGAGTGAGATCACTACCATACCTTTTGAAATTGCTCTAGTGAACATAGGCTTCGTCAATTACTACTTATGACTTCACTTCGCTTCGTACACTTCGCTTCGTCAATTACACCTTTCCTCTCCTTTTAGTCGAGCCTCAATTACATCGATCCTCACTTCACTCTACTCTCTTGCGGACTTGTCTGGTCAATCGGTGCCCTCTATCTTGCTTCATTTTGCAGCTATATGAGATGAAAAAAGTCGAATTGAAATGAAACGAACGAAGCGCAGCGCAGTGAAGTCATAAAAAACGAAGGGAATTAAGAAAGTCATCTTTCTCAGCTATATAAAACGAAACTTTATCAATTGAGAAGTCATTGGCCACTTTTTCTAACTCGACTGATAGACCTAAAAGAGGATTCACTTGAGTACCGAAAGACTACTTTACTACGGGAAGGAAGCCAGATCAGGAATGGGACTCGCGGCTAAGACTATCCTGTCGGAACTCACTACGAAGGACTCCTTTCCTTTTTTTTTTTCTATTATGGTAGGGCACATCGCGCCTCTCCACTAGCCTTGGAAAACTCGACAGGTCCTATAAGGTCGGTTAATTTCTCTTCTTTATATTGCTTTTTGAACTTCCTCTTCCCTCTAGACCTTAACGGCTGATCGGTAGATCTCCTAGCTTGCTAACTTCCCTTCTTAGGCCAGGAGAGCAAAGTGAGACTCAATTACATTGATCCAACGAAGCGAAGCGAAGTCAAATCTCTGGAGAGGAGAGGAAAGATTACATCGAGCCTTTCCGTAAGCCAAGACTGCAGCTAAAGCCGGGTCCGCATTCCTTGTGTTAAAACAGCGGACTATGCGTCAGTGTAGTAATCTGCCCGTTCTATTCCTCTTTCTTAGTCTTCCTCCCGGTTCAGTGCATCTAAAGCGCTCCGTTCTTGTTCTTGTCGCTTTTTCTTCTTCTTCTTNCCCAAGGATCTATATGGAAGCTATGGAGTCTGGGTCCCTGACGGAGATGTATTGCAAGCATTGCCTCTTTACCAATAGCCAGCGTGCTAAGACCGAGCAGGTGTAGCTTCTGCAGCTAAGGCTTGCTTTCCAGTCCGAGCCCTCAGCACAGTCCGCTAGACCGCAAGCCAGTGTAGCTACAACCTTCCTCTCCTTCACAGTCGTTCGATATAATTGACCTCTCCTTTCAGTCGAGACTCACTTCGCTCTCCTCTCGCCACCTTCAAGCTAGGGAAAAACCTTCTTGCTAGCAGCAGTCCCGCTCAAAGAAAAGAAGAGCTGTTTCAGCCAAAGCTTTAGGCAAAGGCAGCTCTCTATTCTTGAAGGGACTTCTGTGAAACCTTCTTCGAATTTTCTTGGTTCCAATGATATTATTAGGAGGGAATGTGTTCTTCTGCTGGCGAGTCAAGACAGCACAAATTGTTGAGCAAAAAACCTTTCGTTGCATTGCCTGGTCAACTTTGTCGAACCTAATCTCTATGCTTTCGTGATCAATATGAACTTTCGAAGGACACATATATATATATGAAGAAATCAATGCTGAAGCCCTTTCTGATCCGTGGCAAGGTCAGGTAGATCTCAGTCAGCGAATTACTTGACCAGCCATTGTATTTTTCGTCAGAGGGGATACGATGCAAAGGCTTTACCATACTATAGAAAGTGAGAGGACGGTAGAAGGTACAAACGAAGCGAAGCGAAGTGAAGTCAAAGTCTGGTGCAATTGACTCGACCATAAACAAAAGTACGATGCAATTGAGTCACGGGGCTTAAGTTGCTTTCAAAGAAGGAAGAGTCATGAAGTAGACTTTTATGCAATCTGGCAAACCATAGGCAACGAGCTAAGACATTTTTTTGGATTCTTGCACATGGCAGGCGGGAGAAAAGCTTCGGTAGGATATGAAAGAGTGAAAGGTCGGTTAAATGGTTGATGCTTTCGTGGTTAAAGAATCTCTCTTAGCTAGGGCTAGGCCACCTGACTATCTATTGTAAAGGCCTTAACCCGGCAAAAGACAACAGAGGCATAAAGGAAGATTGATGAAGAATAAGCGGTGTTCTTGCTCTTGGAAGAAGAATGGCTGTTGTTGAATCAGTTTCAAGTGATGGGATCATATGAATATATAAAAGTGGAATCCTGTCTCCTTAAAGGATCGATGTAATTGACCTTTCCTTCACTTCGCTTCGCTTCGTCAACTCCAGAAAAAGGGGCCTCGAGTGAGAGTGCTTTCTGGGTTAGTCTGCGGAGGAATGGGCGGGCCCACGACTCTTTGCAATTCAGAAGGAAAGCGAAGTTCAGTCGACGGTTGATCCGACACCGACCGGATCGAAATAACCCGGCTGCAGAAGATGTTGCTCTTTGATGAATGATGAGTTTCGATTCTCTATCGATATTTGCAAGCGGAAAGCGAGATCCGAAATCAACCCGATGTCTTTCCCTGGCTTAGAGACTCCTAAGGCACACGGGCCTAAACCTTGCCTCACACGGTAAGGGAAAAAGAAGTCATGCCTAGGTACCGCTTTTTTGTCAAACTTGGATTCAAAAAAACCCTTCCCTTATGAGATGGAAGACTGGGCCTAAACCATGAATGATTTTTCCCACAGCTTGAATCTCCCCGTCTCCACGCGCGACAAGAAGGAGGGTCAATTATATCGAACCTTTAAGGAAAGAAGCTTCTGAGTCATAAGTAGTCATAGAGAAAGGGAATCAATCGGACTTTGAATCCGCAAAAAAAAGTGAATGATGGAAAATATCACCGGTTGAGTGTACTTTAAAGATCGAGGAGAATGTTACTAAAACTCAAAAGTAAAAAAGAAAAAAAAAAGACTACGCTCCTATAGAGTCTGATTCTCCCGACCAACAAAGGGTCCAGTCCAGGAGCAAGCTTAAACCTAGCGCTATGGTTTCCTCTAATTAAATTATTCGAGCCGTAGAATCAATCTCACCGTCAGGGTCGATTACATTGAGGATTCATCTGCTGATGGATTATAGCAAGCGGTCAAGAAAAGAAATTTCCTATTCATCTATATAGGTTTGTACTTGTTTTCTTGGAACTTCCAGGCTTTCTTTACAGGGCCAGTCTGCCTGATCTAGAATCTTTTATTTGATCTTTCGCTTGTCGATTCAAGAGAATACTAGGTAAATAATTACCCGCAGAACGGTACAAGGCCAATGAAAGACCTGGTCTTGGATAAGCAGTATCCCCACCACCCGAGCTCTAATGTAATACTCGATTTTCCGGTTCTTTGTCCGGAGCGGCCCCTTGAGGTCAATTACATCGAGCCAATGAGAAAAGTATTTAAATAGGCTCTCTCTCTTCGAAGTATTTAACCCTATGCGTGTCGGCGCCTATAGTTTAGTAGGTACGAACTTCAATTTCCCATCATAGCACCATAAGTAGTATGGGGTTCAGCGGGGACCTATTGAAGCTTTCCACCTATATGTATTGTTTGAGCGTAAATAGACACGATGTTCGGTACGCGTCCAGTCTTGTTCCTACAGCTCTCCTCTATGGTTGCGCGTTCAACTACTACAACCTTAAGACTGCGCTCCGAGGCCGCCGCTGACACTGCTCCCCCTCGATGTTTCGCTCACGCGTGAGTTGCGAAAATGGTTAGGTCTCCTACGAAAGACTTAAAGGAAGAGAACTTTTCAAGGGAAGATTCGAGAAAGCTACCAAACTCTACATGTCGGATAAGGTAGGTCTAATCAATCAGTGGATTCTAAACTGCTTTCTTAGAATTTGGACAAGCCAAAACATTAATAGGTTGCTGGCGAGCCTTCTTACCAAGCTGTCTTTCCATGTCCGTGTGCGAAGTTCGGACTTGACTCCGCTCCGAGAGAGCTATACGTCCTTCGGACCCGTACTCTGTGGACTGTGCGTCCCTTGTTTCATGGGTCAAGCTTTTGGTCCAAGCCTCAAGACCATGTGAAAGCTGTCATTAATAGAGTGCTCATCTCTTCGATCTCTTTCTGTCTGCTCTCAATGAGAACATGTCCGGACCAGGCTATTAATTTTTTAGAAATCCCGTTAGTGAAGTCAACCTAGGAGTTGACAACGACTAAGCTTTTTTTCTTGACACTAGTCTTAGCCTTTTAATAGATTTATACGCCATTGACTCTTTATTTGACTATGATTGGAGTGCTCTGCCCAACAAGTGATTTGATCATGAAGATAGCTGCGATGGCGAAGATGCCGAACGAGTACAAGGTGTAGCTACGCCCCATTTGTGTTGCCAGCCTTGCCCTAACTTACTGTTTTTTGGGTCTACCCGCTCGACCAGTCTTTCCGACTCCATGTTCTGCGGTTGGGCGGTTCCGACTCCCGGTCCCCTCTCTACCTGCTTAATCTTAGAAATCGTCTTTCTCGAGGGGTTACTTACAGTAGTGTTCGAGAACACCCAGAGCAAATGTGAAGTTGAACTCCATCGCCTATCCTCTCACTGACAAGACTTGTAGCTAAGAGTGCCGCGTTGTACCTAATAACAAGTGACTGGGAAAATTAGACCAGTAGTGATGATGGGACATTTCGCCGAAGGGACTACGATAAGCCGGACATCAAGGCAAGCACCGAGCTAACAACGCTCGACTAGACTGCAGAACTCCTCTAAGATCATCCGTACAGGAAGCTCTTTTGTTGGGTAACAGCTTAACCGAGATCGCTCTCTTGCCTTTTCCCCCTTAAGATGACTATCGGGGATGCGACCAAAACCGTTGGCTCCATACCTCCTTACAAAATACCCGCGAACGAGAACGTGCTTGCTTGGGATTGCGTGCTTCGGATTTTAAGGAAAGTAGGGTGTGGGAACTACACTCGCCTTGCTGGCTTGCTTAGCTACACCGCGAGAACTCCCCCGCCTTTTTCCCTTAATTCAGCACGCACCGACAGGGCTGCAACACCCGCAAGGGTTGAAAGCGCGTACAAATGGATCGGCCTCCCATGGCCATCCAAGACTCGGACCGCGGGTAAGGGGGGAGGAAGAATGGTAGTGAGCGCTCGTTCCAGGGTTTTTCGGAGTGTGGGTACGTGTTCCGGGAGATGAGGTTATAGACGATAAGGAAGTCAAGCAGAAAAGGAAGGAATATAGCTCGAAACGGGCTTAAAAAGCCCTTCTTTCCCCCTTTACAAGGGGTGTAGTCTAATCGCCCTTTGGGCTCTTCTTAACTCTTATCGCATGAGTGACTCATGCTTCCTCTTCTTATCTGAGTTTAGGATAGGAAAGGTAAAGCCCTTAGTGGATTCGTCATCGGATTCCTCATCCCGGGCTTGGTTCTTGGATTACAGACCGGTTTACAACCTTGTCTTCATCCGCTAGCAAGTCGTGGCTTACAGCCGTAGAGCAGATTAAGCCCTTATTCCACTTCGGTGCGGGCTGTATTAAAGCGCATATTCGAACACGGTGCAGCTACTGTTCCCCTCGGTGTAGCTAAGCGATAAAGCTCGTAAAGACGAGACTCCTTCTTTCAAACCCTAGCTCCTAAGCGCGCTCGGTGCATCTAATCCCTTCATTATAATATCGTTCGCTAAACCCTACAAAGGATCCTAATCGTGCTAGTGCGTGCTTTTCTTTGCACAGTAGGAATGGATGGTAGGCTTCACCGAAGCTTACTGCGCGAACTGAAACAGAATGGGTCTGGGCGAGTCTGTTCTGTTCATCTCCTGGTAAGCTTATACTATATATTCCACATGCAAAAGCTCATCACTTCCTTAGGCGAAGCTCCAACTACACTTCTTTGGCATAGAAGGTAGAGTCCTGACTCCATATCGTCCTTGCGAAAAGGCATTTCTGCAAGCTGGCTTTTGACTTTGAGGGTAGGCCTGTATCAGTAGAGAGAGTTTCAGACTGTATAGGGCTCCTGCCCCGGCGAGGTTGCAGAACAGACATTCCATTCTTTGCTTTCCCAGAACTGACTGACCTCTCTGGTCGGATGTTACAGTCTCTCCCTCAGGGGCAATGGACAAAGGACGATCCCCGCAACCTATTTAAAGGCGCGGTCTGCGTCCATAGGTATTCGGCTTAGTGAATCTGAGAGAGAGGTACGAAAGAAATCCCAGAGTTTGATCTCTGAAAGTAATTGGAGTCAGACAACGGTGGCGAGTACAGCAGTGAAGCCATCAAGGAATACTGCGCTGACCGTGGGATCCGAATGAGAAAAGAAGGGCCAACTATTTAGATTCTAATCTTAGTAAAGACATAAAGGAACGGTATTGCACCCTTACTTAGCTTAGTCTTCTCGAATCAAAATCCGTGCTTCTCCTGTGAGCGAGTCCGAAGTGGACTGCTTGCTTTCAAGGTCAATTACATCGAGCCTTTAGGCTATGAGCTGATTCATTGCAGCGAAGTAAGTATCAGAATTGCCGAGAATCTTCCTGCACGGATTCAGAAAAGCAAGCTTCAACTTCTTTGGCGTCCCTTACGCCATTGGCGTGGGTCCCATTCGTCATGTGCCCTTTTACGGGATCCCATTCCCAGTCCCACTATTCTTTTGACTCGGCTTTACGCGTTGTCGTCTAAACACACTTCCTTCCCCCTACAAACTTTTCGAAGCGAAGCGAAGTGTAGATAGAATTACGAAGCCGCTTCTGTAGGTATTTCATTCTGTCACTTACTCCAGCAGGAAAGTCGATCATCGTATAAAAAGAAGAGAGAAGAGTTATGCCAGTGAATCACTTTGTTTTTCACCTTTAGGCGAAGTGTCCATTCCGGGTCCGAAGGAGATGAGCTGCGTAGCGTTGAAGGGTACGGTAGAGGGAATCCCTCCCGTACCTCCCCGCGATTTCCTTACCAACTGAAGTCAACGGAACCTTAGCCGATATGGCTCTGATACCACCGGAAAAGCATTACCTACGAAAGAAGGAAGAGCATTCAAATCTCAAAATGTCCCCACTCATTGATTAGCCGATACGTTTCGAAGAGGAAGTTAGGTTTCACCAAAAGGCTCACCCCGTAAAATAGGCTGCGACGTAGTCGCTGAGATGATCGGACAAGTGAACGTGTTATCGGGATTTCTCATAGCGAGTCGGAACAGGTCGGGTGGATCTATATGCTCGGGGGTGTCGAGACGAGGTGTAGCGCAGTCTGGTCAGCGCATCTGTTTTGGGTACAGAGGGCCATAGGTTCGAATCCTGTCACCTTGATGTGATGGGTTGAAGTGCCACCAACCCGCCTAATGTTTGTAAACATAGGGAAAAAACGCACGCACATTTGGAATACTTGTTTATGGTTCGTTATTTCCTTTTCTTTTTTCAAATAGGTTTCATAATTATCTCTTTTGCATCATATACTTTCTTTTTCACTCTTCTGTTTCGGGAAATGGAAGAGGGCGAGCTGCCAAATCCCCCGCAGGTAATCGCGCAGCTTTGCTCTTTATTTTTTCTATTTTCATTTCCGCAAGGGCGTGAAAGAGAAAGACACATGCTCCTTCTATCTGTATTTTTGAGCATTCTGAGTAGTTTCTTTTTTCGAGGGTCGATGTAATTGAGGCTACTCTTTGTATTTTCTCTATGCTATATATTCATAATCTATCTCTTTCCTTTGAAAGATTCAGATT